CTTTGATGATGTCGCGGGAGCAGAGCTCACAGGCCGCAGGGTCTCACAAGAATCACTCGTGTCCTGCAGGAGCCCAGGCAGGGGATAGAAACCCCGCCAATTGCTGGAACAGAGAAGATTTTTCCAAGCTGTCTTATGGAGCTGTGACTGAGATCCCATGGGCTGCATCAGCTTGAACTGGTACATTGTGGGTGCCAGCATGGTGGAGTTCTGGTGAAGGACTGCCTTAGAAGCTGCAATGGTGATCCAGATTGGGATAAACATTGCAGATTGCAGCAGGCATATGAGAGCTGCCAGAGCTGACTCTGGAGCACAACTCTGAGAAAGACCAGGCTATCCAGTACCCCCAGACCCACACCCCAGCAGCAAGGCCTCGCAGCTCCTCCCATGCAGAGGCAGAGTCCTCCATCAGCCTTAGTATTGGTACTGCCCTCGCCACCTGCCTTGGACAGTGGGTCAGCAGCAGACTGTGAATCAAGCAAATGCTTGACAAGCTCGGGCACACTGTTCTTGGAATTGAACCACTTCGTCAACAAGCCTGGGCTGGCCTCCTCTGCAGATGGACAAACACATGAGCCAGCCATTGGCTGCTGGCAGGGAGGCCCCTGGGCCCAGCCAGCCTCCAGCTGAGCCATCAACTGACCACAGATGCTTGAGTGAGTGCGGCCAAGATCAACTGTGCCCAGCCCAGCAGAGTCTGGCTTGTGCCAAGTCATTCCGAGGGGGTGTGGGATGCTCAGAAAGCTGACCCGTCTTCCCAACCGGCCAGCTCCACTCGCTGCACTCTCTGATCACTAGGCCTTATCCCTGAAGATTTACTGATGCCCGTGATGATGGCAAGGGGCCTGAAGTGAATTTTGAGGACACAGCTTCTGAGGTCCGGCACGGTGTGGACCAAGTATTGAGCACTATAGCTTCTCCTGGTTTGTGGCTCTTACAGACCAGTATTTGTGTTTCCCTGAGCTTCATGTGGTGACATCCGGAGGCAAAGCCTTGGGGAGGTGGGCAGGCCATCAGGGTGCAGCCCTCAGAAATGGGACATCCTCAGGAGAGCTCTTCACCACAGAATTTGAGGAGTGGTCAGCTGTTTGCACCCAGGAAGAGGACCCTCACCAGAAACCCAATCTGGGCCTCCCGGCAAGCCACCAATGTGCAGTGCTTGGCCAGAGCAGCTCAGCAATGGGCTTTTCTAAGTTATCCCCCAACATCTCCAACTCCACAAAGGTCAGGCCTGTGGCCACAGAGCACAGATGAGAGGTCCTTGTGGGTCAAACCACTTACTGCAACCTGTACTTTTTGCTGTGGCTTTCAGCCCCATCAGTCATCTGGCTTGTCACTATGCACGGCCCGTCTTCCCGTGACACAGGGTAAGGCCAGTGGGGCCGGGTCTGCACCTGTGTGCTTCGTGGTCTCCTCTGCACTCCCTGGCCTGCCTGGACGCATGTCATCTTTCACACATAACATGACATCGGGCTCTGGTTTATGCTCTAAGTATCTGCACGATCCCTAGGAGATACCTTTGCCCATTGTATGGAATCCACAAGGCCACTTACTTCCAGTGACATCAGAATAATGGTGACCTTCTTGCCTTCTCTTTTTTTAAAAACACACTTTGTTTGAAAGGTAAGGTGAGTGAGAGGGAGGGAGAGAGAGAGCTTCCGTACTCTGGTTCACTCCCTAAATGCCCAAAAGAGTTGAGGCTCGGCCAGACCAAAGCCAGAGATGCCTGGAACTCCACCGGGGTCTCCCAAGTGGCAGACAGGGGCCTGAGGTCTTGGCCATTCTGCCGCCTTCCCAGGCACATTAGCAGGGAGCTGAATGGGAAGTGGAGCAGCCGACACTAGAACTGCTGTGCCACAATGCGGCCTTGTTCTTTAGGGGACTTAACCATGTGATTTACACAACTGAGGAGGCACAATCAGTACCAACAGCAACAGGGAGAGGGCAGGGATAACACCCCTGAGGAAGGGGTCAGGGAGATACAAATGTACTGCTCAGGCCTCTCCTCCAGCATCTGGCCAAGGGCAGGCTGCCACCTGCTGGAGCCTGTCCCCTGGAGAGCAAGCACCTCTTGCCTTCAGATCTACCACAGCGAGGATGGGACTGGACCACTGACAGCCCAACAGCTCCCCAGTGCTCCCTGGCACAGCTGCCAGCCCCACTGCAGCCTAACAGCTCCCCAGTGCCCCCTGGCATGGCCGCCAGCCCCACTGCAGCCTAACAGCTCCCCTATGCCCCCTGGCACGGCTGCCAGCCCCACTGCAGCCTCTGCAAATGGCCAAGGCAGTTGGGAGATGGCCTGGATCTGGCCCAGCCTTTTCTGCCCCAGAAGCCTCAGGTCCCTTCGGGGGGGCACTGCCTAGCACGTGTGGTACACAGCTCTAACCTGCACTCACTGCCTCACAGGACAGTGGCTTCAGTGGGGAGTGACTACACCCACCTGGGTCACCCAAGGCCCTGGGCTGACGGAAACAAAAGGACTAACCTGACAATACCAATTAGGGCCTCGGGCAGATGACTTAACTCGTCTAAGCTTCAGTTCCTGAAAACCAAGGTTAGCAGCAGTACTTACTCACAGGATTGAAGTGGGATTAAATAGAACTGTGTGTACCTGCCACGTGGTAACTGCCCTTCAATGCTGTCACGTGTACCAGGCTCCCTGCCCGCACATCCAGTGCTCGATGTCAGACATTCACAACCCTATTTTTTCACCTGTATTCATGACCTATACTTGGTGAATTTCTGGGGAGAATGAGGCTTGAGGGCAAACCCTGGCGCCCGAGATGCCAGCTTGCCCTCAACCCCAAATTCCAGCACGCAGACAGCAGGAATGGCAGGGGCCTCTGCTTCTACAATGAATATGGACAGCCCCTAAACACAAGAGCTCAACTAAAGAAAACAGATCACAAAAGGATTTTATTTGAACATGAGCTACAGAGAAAGAGATCTTCCATCTGCTGGTTTACTCCCCACATCTGGGGAGGCCAAAGCCAGGAGCCCTACCCAGGTGACCCCTGAGGGGCAGGGGCCCAAGCGCTTGGACCATCTTCCGCTGCTTTTCCCAGGGCAATGGCAGGGAGCTGGATCAGAAATGGAACAGCGGGGACATGAAATGACACCTACATGGAATGCTGGCATCTCAGACAGTGAGTGGCTTTACCTGCTCCAAAGGGAGAGTATTTAAAAGTCTCTTTATGTCCTACAAGGCTCTCTCTCGGAAGTAAACAACAAATCGGGATGGGATATTTTTATAAATCCACTCTCGCTTTGTAAACCTTCCATGCTGGCAGAAAGCCAATCCCATTAAAAAATGAAAAGCAAGAGAAGGATCTCCAAACCTCACAAGACTTGTCCTTGTTCCCAACACTCTCTTGTCTGGGCCCACCTCCCCAACCCGCATTTCCTCCTCCGAAGTGGGGTTCTGTAGTTGCACAGCTTGTCTCCTGCTCTCCCCAGTGCCTCACCCTGGCTTGGAGCACACTGAGGCCCACACAACTTGACTGTACTTTGTCTTCTATCAAGAGACAGAGAAGATTGTCAGTATCAGATGCGAGGACAGTGCTAATTAACTGTCACACAAGATCACTCCAGAATGTTCCATCTCATCCCTGGAAAGGTTAACTTCGCTCCTTCTGTGGCCTGTGCTCTCCTGCAGGGGTTCACACATGGCAGCATGCAGGCCACGTCAGCCCACAAGCCAAAAGTCTTCTTAAAAATGATTTTTAAATTAAGTTGAAAGAGAATCTTCTATCTGTCGGGTCACTGCCCAGACGGCTTCATTCGCCTCCCAAATGGGTACAAAGACCTAAACATCTGAGCCATCTTCTGCTGCTTTTCACAGGTCATTGTCAGAGCACTGGACTGGAAGCCAGGCAGCTGGGACTTGAACACGTGCCCATATGGGATGATGGTGTTACAGGCATCGGCTCTGCTTGCTATGGCATGACACCGAGCTCTAATACGTATATTTTTAATGTGAAAACTTGAGCTGATAAAGGATTTTCACTCTGGTTTGACTCAAGACTGAAGAGATTACAAAAGATGCCATCTTTTCCCCTTACCCACCTTCCTTTTGGATCCTCCCCTGGGTGCCACCCTGAGTAGATGACCCCAGGCTGGGTAGGGAGAATCCTTTCATGAGTCTTGATCTTTTGTTTTCTAAATACAAAATTGTAAGGACAAGGACTTGGGCGGCACAGACGATCTGTAGCCTGTACATCAGCACCCCTTTGTAGAACATCCCCAAGAGCCTTTACCAAAGGACTCAATCAAGGGGATGGAAGGGCAGTGGTCCACAGAGACCACAAAGTCCTGGTCAGCTGTGGTCACCTGAGGCGAGATTACTTTCATCTCTTTTTAGACTGATTTGAAAGAGAAAGGGTGAGATAGGACATGTTCCATCCATTGCTTACTGCCTAAATGGCTGGATCTTCCAGGCCATATCAGAGTCTGCAGCTCCATCCAGGTCCCCCTTGTGGGCACAGGGGCCCAAGCACTTGGGCCACCTGCTGCTGCTTTCCCAGGCATATTAGCAGGGAGGTAGTTAGGATGTGCAGTAGCTGGGATGTAAACTGGCACTCACATGGAATGCTGATGTGGCAGCTTAACCCACCATGCCAAAAAGTAGGTGCCTCCTAACTTACTGTACTTCCTTTTTTTTTTGATATATTTTGAATGTCAGAGTTCTGGAGACTGAGGAAGAGAGGAAGGAGAGGAGAGATACCTCCCATCCCTGGATGGCCATAATGGCTAGTGCTGCACCACCCACAGCCAGAAGTGTGTTCTGCTGCATCTCCCAGGCCATTGTTAGCAGGGCGCTGGATCCAAAGAGGCAGAACTGGGACGTGAACCGGCATCCAAACGGGATGCGGGCGTCTCAGGGGGCCTTGGCCCTCTGTGTCCCGTGACGGCTCCCCCAGGGGGCTGGCTCCTGCAGACAGACCCCAGGGAGTCAGCCATACGCCACACGCATTTGTGAGGAAGAAGCAGTAACAGCTGGAGACTGAGAAAGAAAAAGCTATTTAATCTTTGACAGATTTAGGTCTACAAACAGAATTAACAAGGCTGCTAGAAATGTTTTATTCACTTTTTTTTTAAATATTTATAGTTTTTTTTAAACAAAGTTCTATACACAAAAATAAATATACAGAAATAAACCCCATCAACTGTCTGCATCAGTAATCCTCACTGGTGGGCTCACCATTTATAAGGAAGACATCATTCCACACACCCTGCCACAGCGACTCCTACCGGCCAGGACCTGTACTGTAACGGATCATTACTAGGCTTCCTTCATCAACACTGCTCTGCGGCTGGAGAGCTTAACCTACCAGCCAGAGCTAACCCTGATCCAGGAGTGTAACCACCATCTCTGAGTGGAGTGTGACAAAGCCTAGTGCTAATGCCCATGCCCTATGACCGAAGCCCTTCGAGACACAGGTAGGATGAAGAACAGAGAGAATTCCCACCTCCCCTTGGCCAGTCACTGTGAAAAGTGTGTATAAGGCAATTGAATGGAGGGTTAAAGACTCTCTTTGCTAATGTCCAAAGTGACACTAGCAAGATTCTTAGCCTCATCCACCGGATGATGGGCCACCCCTGCGTCCAGGTCTCCAGGAGCAGGTTCCGCCTCCTTCACCAGTCAGAGGGTTATAACCTGGGGTGGGAGAAAGGAAGCAGAACAGTATTGATGGCTGGGAAATCTGGCAACATTCCACATGCAAAACAAAACTAGGTACAGCAGCAGATACAGAGGCCAGCATGCCCAGTGCTGCAGGATGAGGATTCAAGGTCATGAACAGAGTCCAAGGCCCTTCAGGACTTTAAGCTTCACGTTGGGGCCAGTGTGGCGGTGCAGAGGGGAAAAGCTGCTGCCTACCTTGCCAGCATCCCACAGGGTGCTGGTTCAAGTCCTGCCTGTTCCACTTCCGATCCAGCTCCCTGCTAATGGCCTGGGAAAAGCAGCGGAAGATGGTACAAGTGCTTGGGCCCCTGCACGCAGGTGGGAGACCCAGATGAAGCCCCTGGCTTTGACCTGGCCCAGCCCCAGCCATTGAAGCCATCTGGGGAGTGAGCCAGGAGACACAAGATTTCTCTCTTTTGCTGTGTAATTCGTTTAAGTAAATAAATAAATCTTACTTTTAAAAATTGTTTCCTATTGTGACTGTGTTGGCACTGACTTTCTGGTGGTGAGGACAGGACAGCCCTGCAGCTTCTCAATCCTGGAAAGCTCTGGCCATTCAAGCTGCAGTGGTGTTCTATCACGGGCTGTTCAAGCTACAGAGATGACCCCACCAGACCGAAGCAGCGTGGATCCGTGAGAGCTGGGCACCCATCAGCTCCTGAGTGCCTGCACTCGGAGCCAACCAGAGTCAGCTGCTTTTGCTCCTCAGCTGCTGTGGAGTTATGGAATTTCTGGGCCTCAGTTTCCTTTATTTGTAAAATCAAGGTGGTCCCGGACTGTGGGAACACTGAGCTACTCATGGACATAAGCATATCACGTGCAGTTCGTTCTGTAAGATTTCCTCTCTCCTCCATCTCACCATGCTCTCCCCAGATGTTCCACGTCCCTGGAGTGAGCCGAGCCTTAAGGTCAGCCAAGTGCATGGCCATGCTGCCCAGGAGCCCACTGCCCAGCCTCCCCCAAGGACTCAGACCTGCTGCCCAGGCCTCGGCCTGACCCCCTCCTGTGGAGGAGAAAGTGCTCCTACCCAGAATGCCGGCATTCCTGCTCTTCCCTTCTGTGCGTTAACTTGGAATTTCTGGGCGGTCACAAAGGATTATTCGTTTCTGTTTTTTGTGCAAGTCCCATTTTCCCAGCTGTGAAACTCAGGCACAGGGTGGAGACAGACGGCCAGGGCATTCCCCAGAGGGCAGGGCTGGACTCCGAGCACCACCTGCCTACCTCTCCTTGGGTAAGTTATCTACTAGCAGCAATGTGGCCCTGGAGAGAAAGACCTGAACCATTCATCGTCCCGCTGCAGGGCTGTGCTGGGAGGGGAGCACCCTGCACCGGGAGGGGAGCACCCTGCACCGGGAGGGGAGCACTCTGCACTGGGAGGGGAGCACCCGCACCGGGAGGGGGAGGCCCCAGGCCCTGTGCGGTGCCCGCCTTTGTGTACCCTTCACAACCTGAGCGCGTGGTCACCCTCAAAGAAACAAACAGACCCGTGTCTACCAGTGTCAGCATTCTTTCCCATCTGACAGCACCGGGCGCTTACCCCCGCCCCGCAGAGGCTTTCGGTCAGACTTCCGTTTTGGAATGGCAGACGATGTAGAGGGTCCAGGACCATCTTCTTCCTGTGGGGACAGACACAGGCTTAGGAACCAAGCAAGCCTCCTGCTCCGAAGTCAGCCCCGACGGAATCTCCCGGTCCTACCGGCTGGGGCCTCCTCGCTCGGCCTTGGTAACTCTTGCCTTCTTGCATGCTGTCCCACATCTCAATCTTCTGTCTCCTCTTCTCTTCTTCCAGCTGCAGAGGAATCGGAGGTTGGCCAGGGAGAACACAGCAGCGGCCAGCCATGCACTGAAAGGTCCTTTTAAATACATCTTCCTCTGCATCTCCCTCAGGCACCCTAAGATGTGCAATCTGGTGGTGTGAGCTGAACTTGCAAGCTAGTAAGGCAAGCAGCAAGCACAGGACCAGTCCTAAAACACAGGCAAGTTTGGCCACGCAAGAACTGGGCCAGGCTTGTCGTCACCTGGCTGCTCAGGCTGTGAGCATCAGAGCAGACCTGAAGGTGCTCCGCCAAGTCGAACCCTCCAGAAACCTAAGGCAACACCAGCCTCAGCAGAAAACCACTGCATAGCGAGCGTGCAGTCCCTTAGTGGATGGGCTCCCAGTACGCAGGCTCAGGCACTGCGTGGCACTCCTCGCAGCAATGTCCAGCCACGCCACGGTCACTTCCACTTCTCACTTCTGTTAGAATTCAGACTTAGCCGAGTTCCTCCCTGTTCCAATCATAGCATGATGTCCCAAGGCAATGTGAAAGGTCACCTTGAAAAATACACATCCTGGAAGTGGTGCCATGAGTCCAGTCCCACCACTGCTCCCCCAAGACCCTGTCTGCCCTTGCTCCCTGCCTGCCTTGCCTGTAAGCACAGGAGGGCCTGAAGAGCTACCCTGGAGGGCAGGTGGTTCTGAGCGCCTGGCAGGCTGCAGGGGAAGCCAGAACACAGCCACAGCAGACTCCACAAACAGCAGGTCCCATGCAGCCACAAGCTGGCAGACCCAACCAGAACTACCTAGTTGGACTATTTTAAAACTCAGCTGCCCGCTTGAAATTTGAGGAGGTCCACACTACAATTTTTAAGTTCCCTCGCACACTTTATTTCCACGACATAGATTTTTACGTCATGATTTTGTTCAAGCATCTTAAGAACAATACAAGTACCAGCAGCGGCAGTGAGGCCTGGGCTCAGGAAACAGCAGGGCCACTCGCCACACCCCTTGGTCCTCCCTCCCACTGCACCACTGACTGCCTCATCTCAAGAAACCTTTGAGAACCCCAGCACTGCTCACAGGACCCCTGGTCAGGCCCTCAGCTACGGTCTCTCCTGGGCTCCAGCACCTCAGGGTGCGTGCGCGACAGGGCAGGCAGCAGGCCGTGTCCACGGGATGCCTGCCAAAGCAGCCATCTTTGCTGCCATCCTCCACCCGCACCAGCACAAGTCGGCAAGTGACTCGCAGTTTCCCTGCATGTTACCAGATTCACACGGCCTCCTTCCCAAGCCACAGCCAAATCTCCCTCGCTATCGTCACTACTCCTCACAATGTAGGCCCTAAATTACTGGCTGCTTCTGATGGAACAGGACTCCACTCTAGAGGCCGACAAAGAGCAGCAAGAGGAGCCGCCGTTGCACTGTCCCTTACAATGCCGGCATCCCATGTGGGTGCTGGTGAGACCTGGCTGGCCTGCTTCCCATCCAGTTCCTTACTCACGTGCCTGGGACAGCATCAGCAGATGCCCCGAGTGCTTGGGCCCCTGTCCCAACATGGAAGATCCAGAAGAGGCTCCTGGTTCCTGGCTTCAGCCATTGTGGCTATTTGAGGAATGAACCCAGCAAAGGGAACGTATCTCTAACTCTGGCTTTCAGATAAACAGCATTGAATCTTATTCAAACCAAAGCCACTTCATACCTGTCTTAGTTTTTCCTTATGTTTTTCCACTTGCGCGTTTAGCTCTTCCTGCATTTTCAAACGAGCAGCTGCTAAAGCCTCCTGTCGTTTCACGACCACATCAGGCTCTAAAACATGAGAAAGGGCGAGATAAAGTGTCGGCAACTCGGGTGCACACATCACAGGACCAGCAGGATCTCACAGCAGTAGTCCCACCTGCCCTGCGCACATCCCACAGCTGAGGGGTCAGGGGACGGCCCCTCAGCTCTAAACACCCACATCCGGAAACGAAGGCCTCTGGGCTCCTCCTGGCAGTCCCACACATAAGCATATTCGCCTCGTGGCTGCCCAGCGACGATCTGATGGCCACAGCGAGGTGCCCTTACACAACGTGGACGCCTCCCTAACAGGGAGACAACTGAGGGAAGAGGAAGCTATCACCAGCCCGGTCTGCCACGTAATGAGCCCAGATCTGCATGGGACAAAAGTGACTAAGCAGAACAAAGACTACTCCTTTCATCCAGCATTCAGAACAGACAGGGGCACATGGGTGCCCAGGGGGAGCTATGTGTCTGGCTAGTCCGTGATGGGAAGCCTTCCTCAGTAATGAACGACTCAGGGGAATGCCATCCGCACTTGTTTAATTACACAGGCTCTCAAAATATTCCTCACCATGGCCTAAGTCTCAGCCTGCAGCACCGGCATCCTACGTGGGTGCTGGTTGGAGTCCCTGCTGCAGTGCCTGAGAAAGCATGGCCCAAGTGCTTAGACCCCTGCACCCACATGGGAGAACTGCAATAAAGGTCCTGGTTCTGGCCGGCCCGGCTGCAGCCACTGCTCTCAGTTAGGGTGAACCAGGGCATGGAAGATCTCTTATTTGCTTGTAACTCTGCCTTTCAAATAAAAACAAACAGGGTTCGGTGTGATAGCCCAGTGGCTAAATCCTCACCTTGCATGCATCAGAATCCCAGGTGGGCACTGGTTCTAATCCTGGCAACCCCACTTCCCATCCAGCTCCCTGCTTGTGGCCTGGGAAAGCAGTTGAGGACGGCCCAAAGCCTCGGGACCCTGCACCCATGAGGGAGACCTAGAAGAATCTCCTGACTTCAGATCAGCTCAGCTCAGGCCATTGTGGCCACTTGGGCAGTGAACCAGTGGATGGAAGATCTTTTTCTCCATCTCTTCTTCTCTCTGTAAAGCTGCCTTTCCAATAAAAACAAATAAACCTTTAAAACAAAAACAGATAAACCTAAAACAAACAAAGCCCACACAGAGTCGGCTTCAGAGGCCTGGGACCTGTTCCCCTCACACAAGGAGACTCGCATACTGCTCCCAAGGAGCTACGTGGAAATATTGACAGATGTGGGTGTGGACCGAGGCTTCGCGGATCCGGGATTCCAGATTCCGGGCCCAGCACTCACCTAGGGCGGCCTGGGCGCGCTCCTGCTGCCGCTGCCTCCAGGCCCCGAGGCGGGCGGAGAGCTTCTGGAAGACCACGTAGAGGAGGATGCCGCTGAAGAGGATGTACCAGCCATAGCTCGCCAATAAGGAGCCCACTGCAAGGAAGAAGGCGGCAGGCTTCCAGAACCGGGAACCAGTGACCGCGGCCAGCCTGGGGAGCCGCCGGGCTGCGGAACTTGGCCACCCACGGGCATACGGGGGCGGGGGAACCCGAGAGCCACGGGCTGGGGAGGACCCCCAGGAGGTTCCCGACGCAGGAAGGTCACGCGTGGGGTGGGGAACGAGGTGTTTCGGGGGACCCGGTAACTGCAGCCGAGAGGCTCGCTCGCCCAGAGCAGGGCGCCCCCGCTCCAAGCCGCGGCTTCCCCTACGCCCACCCGGCCAGGCGGAGGTCCGGCTCGGCAGCCCGCCCAGGGCTGCGTGCGGCCATCCACGGTCGTCCAGGCAGAGGGCGACCCACCGATCATGGCGGCGCGCTGGGCAGCGGCCCGCGGCGACTCACCCGTGACGTGCAGGAAACGCAGCCCCTCGGTCTCCAGGGCCGGTCGCGCGGACAGCACGTCGGCCTCTGCCTCCATGACGGCCGCGGCCGGGCGCGTCGCCTCTGCAGCCGGCCGCTTCCGGCTCGTCCCTACGTACACGTGGCGCGCCGGGACGAGCCAGCGGTCCCAGCCACTGGCGGCCCGGCTCCGCCCCGACGCCCGGCTGAGGGCGGGCCGGTGCGGTGGGCGAGGATGCTCTCCTCAGGGCCAGGATGCTCTGTGTACTGCTCGGGGTCTGGGGCCCTGGAGGGCAGGGTCGGCCAGCGAGCCTGGATTCTGCCGGCCTGCCCCTCCCCGGGTGTGAGAAATTCGGGCCTCCGCCTTCTGTTTGTCTGCCTGGAGCCTGAAGTGTCTCCCACGACCCTCGGGGTTCTTGTTCTTCAGAATCAGAAGTTGACATGCGACCAGCAGGAGCCTGCGTCAAGGGTCAGCATCCTGGGAGTTAGGCCCCCACCTGCTTCCCTGCTCTCTCACGCCGGCCATGTCCACTTGCAGATGTGTTCCCACTTTTTATTTCAGGCCCAGGGAGTTCAGTCCTGTGAAAGGCAGGCATCCGGCACTCTGGAGCCAGGTGGGTTGTCCACTCTGGTCACTCCTCCACAGTGTGTCTAATTCCAGAACAGTGGCTATAGAGGACTATCCCAATTGCAAAGACTGACTTGCACGCTGTCCCCTGTCCCCGAGGCCCGCGAATTAATCTGTTATCACAGATGCTGACGGGGGCTGCCTCTGATCACATGGAGGGAAGTCCTGGCTGCTGGCTTGCTTTATCCACCTGTTTCTGTGACATCTATAGTCATGCAAATGGGATTGCCATGGGAGCGTCACTTATGGGGGGGCACTCCTCAGGGTTTTGCAACACAAAATGAAAATCGGCACAAATTCATGAGAATGACATATACATACTGTATATACATACTGTAGTACCTGGATAGGGTTTTGTTTCAGTTCCTAGCATGTTATTTGCATTTTTTTAAGATTTATTTATTTTCATTGGAAAGGCAGATTTACAGAGAGGAGAGACAGAGAAAGATCTCGCATCGTCTGGTCCACTCCCTGTACTGCAACACGAAGCTTGAGGCAGGAGCCTGCAACTCAATCCAGCCTCCCGGGGTGCTCATTAGCACGAAGCTCGGCCTCAAGCTGACCTCTGACCCAAGCTCCCAGTTCATATGCAGTGCCCACCTGTGCCAGCACCTTGTTGTTATGGTGCCTTTGACAAGTTAGGCTATGAGTACATTTGTCCCTTTGACTGGGTGCTACCACGCTGAGCTCATCTACAGCCACAAAGGGCCTTGAGCAAACTTGGCTCAGTACAGCTGCTCAGACGCTTGCCTCTGTAGACCGGGGCAGATGACCGGAGTCTACATGGCTGGCCTCACTGCTGACTGGCAGCCATGTCTGTGGGAAGGTCTTGGACAAGCATTTCTCCAGCCTCTGACCGCCCTGGTCTGAGTGAACAGCGAATGCCAGCCTCTAGCGTTTACTTCTCAGGTAAAGTTGAGCCAGGTGTGCTGTGAGCACAGCCCGAACTGTAGGGGTCAACAGTGCTGTAGCCTCAAAGCCTTTAGTACCAAGGTAGTTAGGCAATATTGTTGTGGTCCCGGCAGAGTGGTAAATCGCCAAACTGGACCTTTCCACCCAAGTACAAACAACAATGGGAATAGAGGTGTGGGTAGCTGAGAACAATCGCCAAGTGTTCCTCAAACATGACCAATGCAAGGGCCCAGCCCAGCCAGTGACCCTCTTGGAGGCTCCCAGTGTGACCTTTACATTGTGCTGATTATGTATGCATGCCACACCTGGTATCAGTTTCCTAATTTGATGTGTTTGCAGGCCCACAGAACAACAGCATTTACAGGTGACACCGCCAGCACAGAACATTCCAGTCAACAAGGCAGCTGCACGTAACCCAGTTCTTCTGGATGTGGCGTGCCTGTCGTCTGAAAGCTCCTCCCAGGTTAGACATGATCCTGAATGCTCCTCACGCACAGGCGGGACAAACCTAACTGGCATCGCAGATGGAGGTTGAGCTCGGGGTGAAGGAGTCCTCGCCTTGCCCTGGTCAGTTTTGCAAAGTTCTCAGCTGAGACAATGACACATACAACGGGAGCAGGGGCCTCTGGCTTTTCCTCACCACGCCAGAGTAACCCTGTCTGTCCAGATCGAGTCAGGAGTGGCATCCAAGTCCCCAGTCACTGCCAAGTGCTACAGGGCACTCAAGGCCAGGGACCCGGGGGAGGCGGGGTGCAACTTTTTAGAGGTTAAGCAGTGTGATCAGTTTCCTTAGGGTGTCCGCAGCTAACTGCAAGCCGCCCACATTGCCGAGCCCAAAGGCCAGCCAGTCTCACCAGGCTGGCTCATGCATGACCCAACAGAAAGACTCCAGGATAAGGTACCAGTCTTCCCAAGATCCTCAACCATGGAAAGGAATGGAATCAGTCCAGTTGTGCTGTCCGATGTGACTGGTCCCCATCACTGTAGTAAGTTACGTGGGCTTGAGTCTTGAAGCTGGGGGCTCTGATCCAGCACAGGAGGGGGCACCCAAGTCCTTCTGTGCTTTGATGCGACAACATGCTCAGAAAAGCATTACCATTCCCTGGTAATGGGCAAGGGAGACCAGGAATGGAACCCGGTCAGTTGGCATCAAGTAGTAAGACTCCACCTATAGGGCCCGGTTACAGGGTCTAGTGGCTAAAGTCCTCACCGTGAACGCACCGGGATCCCATATGGGCGCCGGTTCTAATCCTGGCAACCCCACTTCCCATCCAGCTCCCTGCCTGTGGCCTGGGAAAGCAGTTGAGGACGACCCAAAGCTTTGGGGCCCTGTACCCATGTGGGAAACCTGGAGCAAGTTCCTGGATCCTGGCTTCAGATTGGCATAGCATTGGCCGTTGCACTCACCTGGGGAATCATCAGATGGAAGATCTTCCTCTCTGTCTCTCCTCCTCTCTGTATATCTGACTTTCCAATAAATAATCTTTTTTTTTAATAAAAGACTCCACCTCTAAAGCCCTTCTACTGTGTGTATATGGTTTAATGCTCCTAGAATTTATAAAAAAAAATGCAAAAACTACAAGCCTGCCAACATTAGGAATAAGACTTGAGAAATTAACAAGCTAGTTTGGTTTGGGTTATAAAGGAACTGCTTTTGGAAGAGCTGGAAAAGCACTGGCTAGGGTCAGACTGAGGAACTCCAAGGCCAGGCTCCAGGGAGACCCACTTCCCATCTCCTTTCCAAAGCCTTCTGGAATGCTGGGCCGCACTTTTCCCTGTGGGTCCCCCTTGCAGGTCAGATGGCAGGCTCTCGAAGGCCCAGCTCCTTGTTTGCTAGGCATCTGACTATACTTGGTAAGAACAGAGCATCAGCTGACTGGGAGCCCAAACTACTCAGGGCACTACTTACGGAAGGGGAAGGATCACCTAGAAAACCTGAAACCCGAATCCGGATCAGAGGCTGTTTTGCAAACCCTTCCCAGAAGCCTCATGCTCAGGGAGGGAGGGAGGAGGAACCCCTCACCGATCAAAGTGATGGTGGACGAGACTGACCCACGGACAGACCCCAGCAGCTGCAGGAAGTGTCTCAGCCTGCCAACCAGGCAAGTGACACAGACCCATGGCTGGAAACCACTGTTCTGCTCACACTATCAGCTGACAAGCAGAGGTCACACTTGCCAGCAGTGTCCAAACCAATCAATAACGTGCTAACTTGTATGATTTTGAACAACAGCTCTCCCAGACCTGAACAGATGCATGTCAAAGCTCCCAGGGGATGCCTGATACTAGATAATGACCACTTCCACCCAAGGACTTCAACAAGCTTGCAGAGGAGATGGACACCGCAGCAGCTACGGTGCCATGTGGGAGGTAACATGCTGTAATGGAGTGCCCCAGTTCAAGTTCCGGTTCCGCTTTCTACTCGGCTTCCTGCAGTGTGTCCCCTGGAAGGGGTGATGGCTTGTTTGCATCTTTGCCATCCACCTGGGAGGCCTGGATTGGATTTCAGGTTCCAGACTTCAGACTCTGCCTGCCTTGGCTGTTGCAGCCATGTTGGGGGTGAACTGGCAGACGGAAAATCTTTTAGTCTCTCTCTTCCTTTAAAAATTCATGAAGCTCACACAAAATGCATAATCGTGGATTTCAAAAAACTTTTCTGCACCAAAACTTTTTTTTCTTTTTAATAAAAAGGATTTATCTTTTTACCTGAAAAGGAGATTTACAGAGTGGAGAGGCAGAGAAAAATCTTCCATCCGCTGATTCACTTTCGAAATAGCCCCAGTGGACACAGGTGAGCTGATCCAAAGCCAGGAGCCAGGAACCTCCTCTGGGACTTGCATGTGGATGGCAGGTGCCCAAGGACTCTGAGCATCCTCTGCTGCTTTCCCAGGCCACAGACAGGAAACTGGATCAGAAGTGCAGCAGCTAGGACCCAAACCAGTGCCCATAAGGGATGCTGGCACTTGCAGATGGAGGATTAGCCAGTGAGCAACCGCACTGATCCCCCAAATAAACTTCTAATTTTCCCACGTTTTTTAAACGCTCGCATACACGCTTTTTCCTACAAAGCTCCGGAACTTTCCACTTGCAGACGGCACTCTGGCTTCTCTGGCATAGCCCTGGCGGCAGCACTCTGTGCTTGGGAACCCTGAATGAAATGAGGGTGACTGGAGGACAAGCAACTGAACTGACCCCAAGACAGCCACCGAGCGACCAGCAGGCAGGGGTGCAGACTGCGTGGGTAGCATGGGCCAGGGGCCCAGGTGTATACCACGAGATTTTCAAACTAAAGACTTCCAGATTTTTTCATTTGCTATTTTTGGACTGCAGTTGACCAGTTGAACTGTCTGCAGTGTGACAGTAACTGAAACAGCAAAGCAAGACCACAGGTGAGGAAAGATTCCCAAGTTAGAGATATCATCTTACACATTTCATCTGAAAGGGAGAGTTGCACAGTAAGGGGAGTGAGACTGTCCACCCACTGGGCCGCTACTCAAGTGGCCACAATGATCAGGGCCGGGCCAGCTGGAAGCCAGCAGCCAGGATCTCCACCCACGCCTCCTGTGTGGGCAGCAGGGGACCAAGCTCCTCAGCCATCTGCTGCTTCTTTCCCAGCACTCAGCAGGGAGCTGGATTGGAAGTGGAGCAGCCAGAACTTGGAGCTGGCACTCATGTGGGACGCCAGCAGCACAGGCAGCAGCTCAACCCGCAGCACCACAACGCTGGCCCTAGGGATATTAATCCTTAAGTCTCACAGTTTATGGGCATTTTATGAGAAAAAAATCTAAAGTATTTCACAGTTGACAAGGAAGCCTACCCAGAAATCCTACCGTCCTACACACCCCCACTACACTGTCCCTTATACCGCAAACATACCATGTTGACACATGTTGGCAACACAGTGAGTGGCCTTTATTTTTATGATCTGTAGAAAACTGACATTCAGATTTCAAATTTTACATTACAAAATTATCAGCAGCGGTTTTAAACACTTCCACAATGCTGCCAGGTTCCAGTCTGCTGACACTAATGAGTTATTACTATTCCACATTCACAGAGCAAGACCTGGCTCAAGAGCGTCTACTGCCACCCACACGCCGTACCACTCAGGACCCATTGGTGACTGTGTCTTCTTCCATCTCTTCCTCACCATCATCAGCAGGCCCTGCAGAAAACCACAAAACCAAAGGTCACCTAACGTCAGGGACACTGTTCACTTAGTCAGTGAGCGCATGTGCAGTGACACACACGTATTCCTGCAGGACAGCAAACACAGTACGTGGTGAGCAGCGCCCCCACGCCCGGGCACAAGGCTGCTAGCTGTCCCCCAGGGGACACCCATGGATACAAGGCTGCTAGCTGCACCCCCAGGGGACACCCATGGACACAAGGCTGCTAGCTGCACCCCCAGGAGACACCCACGGATACAAGGCTGTTAGCTGCCCACCCCCAGGGGACACCCATGGACACAAGGCTGCTAGCTGCACCCCCAGGAGACACCCATGGACACAAGGCTGCTAGCTGCACCCCCAGGGGACACCCAAGGACACAAGGCTGCTAGCTGCACCCCCAGGGGAAACCCACAGACACAAGGCTGCTAGCTGCCCACCCCCAGGGGACACCCATGGACACAAGGCTGCTAGCTGCACCCCCAGGAGACACCCAAGGATACAAGGCTGTTAGCTGCCCACCCCCAGGGGACACCCACGGACACAAGGCTGCTAGCTGCACCCCCAGGGGACACCCACGGACACAAGGCTGCTAGCTGCACCCCCAGGGGACACCCACGGACACAAGGCTGCCAGCTGACCTGGTCTGCGCTCTCTGCCAGGTATCTGACCGGCCTGCAGCAGCCCCTTCAGCCTCTCCACTTCAGCCAGGGTCGTTGCATTGGCTATTGCATTCTGGAGGACAGAGGACAAGAGACATGGATGGTTACCCTGACTGGGAATGTCCAGAAAACATCTACAGAAATTTCTGGCAACCTTCCAGACTGTACACGGCTCTGTGAACACTGCAATCGACCTAGAAGCCAAGTCACAGACTTCCAAAACCGGTGGCTTCTTAGCCAACTGGAATTCTGCTTTTGGGTAACTTGAGAGGTAATACAAAATCAGGATTCCGCACTCATCCAACGGGGTTTGTTGGACAGCACCTCATGGAAAGTTAAAAAAAAGGAGGACCCCGACAGCATCACACAGTAAAAGGTGCACCCTGAGAAAATGGCACACCCAGCTGCCCCCGCCTTTACTGACGCCCACACAAAATCAGGCTGAAGTCTGGCCAAGTACATTTAGGTTGGTTCTTAACTGGAAAGACAATGGAAAATAATGATCTGCCACGTTAGAACAAAACTCCATCCTCATGGCACCGCAAAACCCCTCGTGTTGTTACCTTTATTGCCTCGACATCCCCGGGAGTCGGGCCACCCTTCTTCTTGTCCGTCGGCAGACCAGCACCTGGATTAAAACTGGGGAGAGAAAAGAATGCAGCTGCTGTGAAATGCAGCTCTGGAGAAGTTGCTTCTCTTACTTTCAAAAGCTTTTGAAAGTAATTCAACCAGTGTAGTATCTTATCTTTGTTAACAAACTGATACAAGGACCCTCTCCTTCAGAAACATCACCCAGTGCACAGTCCTGGAGAGAAACCAGGATGCCGGCAACGCAACATCGGGCTCAAAATAGAAACGTCAGCCCCACTAACCTGGTGCAAATTTCAAGTGACCATGATGGTCACGCATGATCAGCACGCCAATGCAAGACTACATAACCAGCCACAAGGCTCAGTTCGACTTGGTGCAAGGCAAGCTGCCAGCCACAGTGTTTCTGAAGGGGAGGGAGAGTGAGGTCGGACATCCGTATCTTACGTTTTGCTTCTCCTGGCAATATCCTTTGCAAGCTGTGCACCCCGTTTGCCCTTGAACATTTTCTCTGCTTCCTGACGCTCCTACAGCGACACCACACACAGAGGTAATGGAATTAGGAATACCACAGGCATGTCGATGCATTCCTCAGAAAACACAGAAGGGAACTTTCCTCAAACAGTCTGCGCTGGTCAAAATATCAAAAAGCCAATTTCAAATGAAAAGCAGCCACACTGGTCATGTCTCCTCTGGCGACGTGCCCTCTCCTGCTTTGACAGGGGCTGCCAAGGAGCAAAGCAACTTTAAAACACGAAACAAAACAAAACCTCCTGATAAAGGAGGGAAAAAAATCAGCCAGGTAAAGCTGCTTGAACACACATCCCACTAAACTCCCCGCTGGGACCGGGCAGCCCGGGCACAGCACCACTCCGGCGTCCTGCCAGTGTTGGCCCGCTCCCATTTCATAATCATAATAGAGCATTAATTTAAACCCCTACCATAAACACTATTACGAGAGGAGAAAAAAAGACTCAGCATTTTCCTTCCCACACTTTTTTCTGTGCTTTAATTTACAAACAATAAAACACACTTCCTTAGGCAACTTACAAAAATTAAGAACAAAGTATTAAGAAGAACAGAAAACTCACAAGCAAGAGCATACTTACTTTTAGCTTCACTTTTTGGAAATCCAGGACTCTGACTTGGGGAACCTTGTAAATGACATACAGTCTGTAATGCTTCTTGTTGGTCACGGGGTTTCTTAAGATACTGCAAGGGAACAAGGCACACGGGGTCACAGACCAGCATGCCCAGCACTCCCACAGCCGCAGCAACGGAAGTCACAGCAGCTGGAGAAACGCCTTCCAGAGACAGTTGTTCCTAACATGTATTTATCTGAAAGGCAGACTTGCACACAGGAGAGACCCAGATGTACAGAACTGTCCCTCCAGTAGCTTACTCCCCACATGGCTACAAGAGTCAGGGCCAGGCTGAAGGCAGGAGCTTCTTCTGGGTCTACCACATGGGTGAAGGGTCTCAAGGCTTTGGGCCAGCCTCCACTGCTTTCCCAGCCACAAGCAGAGAGCTGGACAGGAAGTGGAACAGCTGGGACACAAACTGGTGCCGATTTGGGATGCCTGGCACTGGCAGGTAGAGGATTAGCCTGTAAAGGCACCACACCAGCCAATGAGCACTTTGTTATACTTACACAAGACAAACAAGTCTTGGTATTCTATTATTGCATGTAGGGTGACTAGATAACTTTAATGTATTGTCTTTATTTGTTCTGAGCATTAAACAATTGTGTATATATATATACACACACACACACACCACATAGCGTGTTAGCAACATGTACAATTTTTACACATAAGTTAAAAGCACCCAGCATGATGGCCCCAGGATCCCATGAGCGCTGGTCTGTGTCCTGGCTGCCCCACTTCCCATCCAGCTCCCTGCTTAGGGACTGGGAAAGCAGTCGAGGACGGCCCAAAGCCTTGGGACCCTGCACCCTGAGGGAGACCCGGAAGAAGCTCCAGGCTCCTGGCTTCGGATCAGCTCAGCTCCGGCTGTTGCAGCCACTTGGGAAATGAATCATCAGACAGATCTTCCTCTCTGTCTCTCCTCTTCTCTGTATATCTAACTTTCAAATAAAAATAAAATAAATCTTAAAAAAGAAAATCCGTTCTACTTAAAAGAATATATCTATGATGCTGCCAATTTAGCAGGGTATCTTAATAAATAATAAAAGGAATTAAAAACAAAAAACAAAAACCATCTGCATACCTTAGGTAAGTCAGCGATCTGAGTGAGGCCAAGGGGTCCAGGTCAGCCTGCAGAATGGAGAACAGGTAAACACGAACGCCACCTGCCACTGGTACCGGAAGCGGAAGGGGCAACCACAACATGTATCCATACTGATTTATATCTTTTTACTGCACTAGTATCCAACCCAAAACTTGTACACCACAATTGCTGAATTTCTACAGAATATACCGAATACCCCTGGGCTTACACTCAAAGTGTCAGCACCAACAGCTTGTGTCTCAACAGCAGACAAAACCAAAAGGTGGCTTCCTACAGCAAATTCAAATGGTCTTAGAAAGCAGCGAAGGGGTGTGACTCGGGATCAGGCAGGACAACACAGGGACAACACAGCTGCATTCTGGAGAAAGCTCCTCATCCTTAGCTGTGTCTCCTTCTCCCCCACCAGTTTCTTCCAATCACTTTTCAAGGACAAGGAGCAGCATAAAAACAGGATTACTACGGGGGGACAGCAGGGTAGCTTTTTTTATCTTCCCAAATTGCCCCATAAAACAGTACAATGAACACAGCCAAACAAACTAACAAGAAACCCCTGCAAGTCCCTAGGTACAACCCACCAGAGAGTGGGCTATTACCCAGGAATCCTGATGCCGGCCCCAGGAGGGACACTGCTACGAGGCCACAAGATGTGTGAGGTGACTGCAAGAATGCCAGAAGAGGCCCCAAGAGGTAAGAAGGAACACCACGAAGCCGAGAACTCCGGGCTGACAAGCGACAGGCACACAGATAAAGGACAGTGGCCACAGGACTGCTCACCCAGGGACACAGCCTCAGCATCCCGCTGCTTCTACCTGATGCCCACCAGCAACTGTGTCCCCTCCAGGACACACTCTCTCCAAGAGGGAGACTGAGGAAACCGGGTGAGAGAGAACGAGAGGAAGAAAGGAGAGATGCAAGCGGGAAGGGGCACAGGGTGGGAGCCGTCGGGAAGCACACTGGCATTTCCCAGGTACCACCTGCACTAGCAGGCAGCTCCTGGGCCCAGCGCTGGACAAACCGACAGCAGAGCAACAGCTTCTCTCTCTCTCACATACGCACAGTCTAGCACATGTCAATGGACTGCTGGTCCACTGCTTAAGAAGTACATGAGTGGGTACAGAGGTTCGGAAACACCTAAATCACTGCATTGTACCACACAGGAGGATAAAGATATTGCTAAATCTAAACTCTGATAATGATGCTAAGGATAAAAACAGCAAACGGCCCAGCCTTGTGGCATAGCCTGTTAAACCACGACTGAGCAATACCAGCAACCCGTTAGCGCTGGCTGCTGTCCTGGCCAACGTCTCGATTCTGGTCCCTGTGATGTGTGGGGAAAGCAGCAGACATGGCCCCTGTGCCCGGGTCCCTGCCACCCACCCAGGGGACCTGGACGGAGCTCCTGGCACCTCGCCTAACTCTCACAGCGCAGCATGGCCACTGTAGCCACTTGGGGAGTGAACAGCAGACGGAGGATCTTCCTGCCCTTCCCTCCAACTCTGCTTTTCAAAGAATTAAATAAATAAGGAGATTTAAACCCAAGCCATGCAATAACACCTTCATCTTGGCACAGATGTTAGTACACTGTCACTTTCCTCAGGACACACTCCTCAGGGCTGTCACACTGTGAGGTCAAGGCTGCTGAGGGCACGACCAGGACACAGGGGCCCTGCTGGGCACCAAGAAGGGACACACAGATCATTCCAGTTATGGGAACAGGGATGGGCTACAAAGCCACAATAACCCTAAATGCATCAGGTGTAAGAATCAGACATCAGTGTTAAAACGAAACATTCCCCTTACAAAGAGGTTGTATGCAGCATGAGCTCCATGTTGTTATGAATGAAGCACACAGAAGATAATTCTGAAAGTGTAAGTCGGCCCCTGGACATCCTGCAACTCAAGTGTGCAGGTCACCTTGCAGCACAGCTCAGATCCTGGCAGCCACCTGGGGCTGGCACCACCACACGGACACTGCAGCTCCAGAAAAGACAGAAGTTTTCTCATAGCCAGGGGAGAGTTGCGAGGGGAAGAAGCATATTGGAACATCAAAAAGACTCCAACACAGGAAAAAGAAAAGACTCAGAACAGGGCCAGCTGGGGCAGGAGGAGACACCGTAACATTGATGGCCAGAAAGGTCTAGATGCTGAGTTAGTTAACGACTTACGAAAGGAAAGGACGATAATGTGAAATGTTTGCCAAGAAGCAGGTAGCAGTTGTAAGCTTCCTCCAAATAAACTCACCAGCTCCATGAGACTATTGTTGGTGAGGATGAGCTCCGTGAGGCAGGGCAGAGCCTGGTCAAGCCCCTCGCCTATCCGGCTGAAAGACAAACACAACAGAAACACTCAGGGGAGCAAAACTGAGCAAGGCAACGAGCAGGAAACACATGCTTGCTCACAGCAGCCGAGACCCTTCCTGCATGGCTACCAAGTACCAGGAGGAAGCCTTGTCTGAACCGCAGGACCAGTGACCAGGGGGCAACGTGGGCAGCTTCCTGTGCTGGCTGGTGGGCTCCAAGGCAAAGTGCCAGCCCCGTAGAGAGCCCCTCAGCACACGCCACCGCTTCAGTCCGCAGGTGGCACGGAGACACGGTCAGGCACCAGCTGGGAAATGGCAGGCCTACAGGAAATGATTCTACCCAGGAGAAACCCAACTCGCCGTCGTGTCTCATTTGGAAGGAGGGTGGCAGCAAGAGAGACAGAGAAAGAAATCTTTAATCCAGTGATTGATTTCCCAAATGCCCCCGAAGGTGCAGGAAGCAACCAGGATCTGGGACCCCCAGTAGGGTCTCCCACACCGAGGGGAGGACTGGCCCATCGCCTGCTGCAACCCAGGGCACACGCCAGCAGGAGGCTGGGCTGTGACAGGACGGGGGTCCCAAGCAGTGCCTTAACCACTAAGCCAAACACCGGACCCTCTAGTTTTTAAAGACATTACTGATCAATTACCTACAAGCATTCAATAAAAACTTTTTTCCAATAAAACTTACACAGAGCTCATAAAGGTCTAAAACAACTCTAATTTTGTCAAATCATACTCTAGAAATCAGTTAAAAAACAAAACAACACAAAAACACAAACCATGAGTCAACAAGATGGCTCAACTGGCTAATCCTCTACCTCCAAGCCCTGGCATCCAATATGGGCACCAATTCATTCCTGGCTGCTCCACTTCCCATCTGCTTTCTGCTTGTGGCCTGGGAAAGCAACGGAGGACGGCCCAAAGCCTTGGACCCTGCACCCATGTGGGAGACCCACAGGAGGCTCCTGTCTCCTGGCTTCAGATCAGCTCAGCTCTGACCATTGCGGCCAGTTATCTCTCCTCTCTGTAAATCTGCCTTTCCGATAAAAATACATAACTTTCAAGGGATTTTTTAAAGTAACAAAGTCACATTTACAAAGAGGATGAGAGATGGAGAGAAAGATCCTCCATCCACTTATTTACTTCCCAAGTGGCTGGAGCTCAGCTAAACTGGAGCCAGCAGCCAGGAGCTTCTTCTGGGTCTCCCACATGGGTGCAGGGTCCCAAGACCTTGGGCCATCCTCGACTGCTTTCCCAGGCCACAAGCAGGGAGCTGGATGGGAAGTGGAGCAGCTGGGACACAAACTGGTGCCCGTATGGGAACCTGGCAGATGCAAGGCAAGGATTTAGCAACTAGGCTATCATGCCAGGTTCAAAAATAAATAGCTCTTTAAAAATAAAACAAAACTCCAGAAAGCATGAAGTAGATATGTGAGAAAAAAAAAGTAATTACTGGAGCTTTACGGATCGTTTTAATACAATGCCTTTGGTAACTATTTTTAGAAGTCAAAACATGTACAAAACAACATATTCTTTAACAGAGACCATAAATATGCATAGGTTTTGGCAAAATATGCAAATAAAAGTAGGCCAATATCCAACATCAGAATAATTCCTGGAACTCCACAGGAAAAGTGTACCTCACTTCTCCTTCCACAGGGCAGGTGCGAGGCTGGCAGCCGAGGGCACCTGCATCTCACAGGGCAGGCAATCCCTGGGCTCGGACCCGGGGCTGCGGGGCAGTGGTGAGGACACAGGAGCACTGCCTCAGGCTCCCAGCCCCGCTCCACCTTGCTCTACACCTGCTGAGCGAACCAGTGCACAGCATCCTTTCTCAGCAAGCAACAATGTACAAGTGTAACGGGCGGCACCCACAACTTCGGGAGGATTTAGGGGCAAAGTCCGCGCTCACCATATCCGATTGTTGTTCACCAACAAGGTTTTCAGTCTTCTCAGTAGAGGAAAACCATCCAGTTTCCTGATCTCATTGTCCGAAAAGTCAATGGCATCGAACTGGTCTAAGGTAGCGCCGAGGTTTTCAATGACGGGGATCTTATACCCTGTGAGACAGAGGGGGCAGGGGAGGAGGGATTAGTGCAAACCCCTCCGTGCGGCAAACACTGCAGAGCAGTGAAGACCAAGTGTGAGCAGACTCTGGGCTGCCCAGGACGCTCGAGTGGACGCGGGGACGCCGAGGACCGCGAGCACGCGCAGCCGGCCCCGACGCTCACTGACGGCGTCTAACCGCCGGGCATCCCTGCGGGCGAGAGGAGGAAGGAAACGCCGGCGCCACTTCCGAGCTGCGTGCCCACCCGCGCCGGGGGACACCGAGGTCGGCGGGCGCCCACCACGACGAGCCCCGCACGGCCGTGTCTGTGCGTGGGCGCTCCCCGGAAGCCAGGCCGGGCCGGGCGGGAAGGCCGCGGCGCGGGCCCGGCCTCGAGGCCCAGCCCCGCGCCGGCCGCGCGCTGCCCGCGGCCTGCTCGGACTCACCGCGGAGGTCCAGCTCGCGATCCCGCACGGCGTTGGTGTACTGCGCCGCCTGCTCGATCAGCTCCGCCGTCAGCTTCACCATGTTGCCGCCGCCGCCGCCGCCCGCAGCTCCGCGCCGCCCCGACGTCCCAGCGTGCCCCGCGCCTGCCGCCCGACTGAGCCAATGGCAGCCGTGCGGCGCGGCGCGCGCGTGCGCAGAGCGACCGCCGGCTGAAGCCCTGGCGGATTCGGTGTTTCCTGGGCCAGGGCGGCTTGCCCGCTCTGCTGTCGGGGGTTGCTGAGGGGCTGCGAATTTTCCCGTGCACAGGGACGGGGGCGGGTGTGCCTGGGTTGGTCCCAGGGTGGAATTGCTGGGCCGCAGCGTGTAGTCTCGGCATCAGGTCAATGCCCAAGTGGCGCCTCTGCTTCCTGGACCTGATTGAATCTGATACTTCCCTGGTGCACAACGTAACAGCCCCTCGTTGCCTTCTAAAGGACAAACACTATCCTGACCTCTCGTATCCTTTGCTTGGCCTGCTCTGGATGCTTGCAAATAAAATTGGACCTGTACTTCATGTATCTTTTACTCAACCTTAGGTTGATTTTGGTGCAAAACATTTAAAATCCACATATACATGTAAACCCAGGGATGGGCCTGCTGGAACATGGGGCGGGTATGTGTGTGTACACTTTAAATGGATGCTGCGGGTAATATTTGGCGTTTTCTCTCATTTGAATGACTCTGAATGGTTAGTATTGACATTGCTTACTGGTTAGCATTGTATTTCCCTGATAGTAACATGGCTGAGAACGTTTAAAAAAAAAAAGATTTATTCATTATTATTGGAAAGGCACATTTTAAACCGAAGGAGAGACAGAGAGAAAAAGATCTCCCGTCTGCTGGTTCACTCCCCAGATGGCTGCGAAGGGCAGAGCTGAACCTGATTTAAAGCCGGAAGCCTCTTCTGGGTCTCCCATGTGGGTGAGGTCCTAAGGAGTTGGGCCATCCTCTACTGCTTTCCCAGGCCATAAGCAGCGACCTGAATGGGAAGTGGAGCAGCCAGGACACAAGCTGGTGCCTCTATGGGATGTCAGCATTGCACGCAGAGGATTAGCGAGTTGAGCCATTACACTAGCCCCTGAGCTTTTAATTTTTACTATTAAAAAAAAGTTTGGGGCCCAACGCAGTGGCCTAGAGGCTAAAGTACTTGCCTAGAACACTCCAGAATCCCATATGGGCAGCAGTTCTAATCCCAGAGGCTCTGCTTTTGGATGGCCCAAAGCCTTGGGACCCTGTGTGGGAGACCTGGGAGAAGTTCCTGGCTCCTGGTTTCAGATCGGTGCAGTACCAGCTGTTGCAGTCACTTGGGGAGTGAATCATCGGATGGAAGATCTTCCTCTGTCTCTCCTCTTCTCTGTATATCTGACTTTGTGATAAAAATAAAATAAGTCTTTTTTAAAAAACGTTTTATTGTTTGAAAGACAGAGTGACAGATAAGGAAGAACTGAGAAGGCTTCTCTGCTGGTTCACTCCCCATGTGGCCACAACAGCCAGGGCCGGGCTGGGATGAAGCCCCCCCGTCCCACCCTCCCTCTGGCTAGCAGCTTCATCTGGGACTTGCTCATGCAGCGTCCCAAGTGCTTGGGCCATCTTCTGTTTTTCCCAGGCCATCAACAGGCAGCTGGATCAGAACTGGAGCATGAAGCACATGAACTAGTACCCATATGGGATTTGAGAGGCTTAACTTGCTGTGCCACAATGCTAGCCTGCCTTTAGCATAGAAATGTTCTATATCTTATATTAAAAACGCTTCAATTTGTAGTTTACAGAGTTTACGGTCCATCTGAAGGGAAGTAGTGTCTTCGCGATGTTGAGGACTTCTGTCTGCGGACGTGGCCCAGCCTTCGTTTACGTTTCGGCAGTGCTTCTGCAGCTTTTGTGAGCAGATCTTACATGTATCTTTCGCTAGACTTAATCTAGACATGTGATAGTTTTTGATGGTAAGGTAATTTCCTGTCTTAAAATTTTCATTTTTTTTAAACAAACGTCCTTTGATTCCATTTTTTTTTTACCCTCCACATTTATTTTTTATTTGAAAGCAGAATTATAGAGAGAGAGAGGGAAAGAGAGAGACCTGATTCGCCCCCCAGATGGCTGCACCAGCCAGGGCGAGGCCAGGCTGAAAGCAGGAACCAGGAGCTTCTTTTGGGTCTCCCGTGTGAGCAGCGAGCCTTCTTCTACAGCTTTCTCAGGCCGCTAGCTGGGAGCTGAGTAGGAAGCAGGGTAGCTTGGATTCAAACTGGAGCCTGTTTGGGCTGCCAACATTGCAAACAGTAGCTTTACCCACCATGCCATGATGCCAGCCTCTCAAAAGTTCCATTTTCTAATAATTAGTTTCTGCTATATTGAAATACAAGTGCAGTTTGCAAATTGGCATCTTATCTAGCAATCTTGTAAAAATTTATTTTTTATAAGGTTGGTTTATTTTTATTTAAAGGGCAGATTTATAAAGAAAGAGAAGGAGAGACAGATGTTCCATGTCCTGACTCCCCAAATCGCCTCAATGACCAGAGCTGGACCGGTCTGCAGCCAGGAGCCAGTGGCTTGTTCTGGGTCTCCCGAGTGGGTGCAGGAGCCCACGCACCTGGCCTCTCCTCCACTGCCTTCCAGGCTCATCAGGAAGGAGCTTGATCAGAAGAGCGTCAGCCAGGTCTCGAACTGGCACTCCCACAGGATGCCAGCTTTGCAAGCTGCAGCATAACCTACTGAGCCACAGTGCCAGCTCCCTTTGCTGGTTTTTTTCCTTCAACTTTATTCCTCTCCCCAGTTCACACTTGACTGGGACCTTCAGTGTTTTGTGGAGCAGTGGTGATGGTGGATGTCCTTAAGCAGGTGGTGTTTCTTAGTCAAGGGGGGCAGGGGAAGCCCCTCATCAGCTGGGCAGAGTTCAGGTACCACCTGCTAGACTGCCACGAGAAGGCCAGAGAACCATTTGTGTGGGCTTCCTGTCAGATGCCTGGCTTGGGTCAAAGCATGAGGAAGTCTGAGACGCATCCAACAGGGGGTCTGCCACCAACATAGGGCACACAGCTCCACAGGGCTCCAGGTTCTGGGAATCCAAGAATCTGTCACATTGTTCCAGATGGAGGAACCTTAAAGGAATGCAACAACTGAATGCAAAGTGATCCCAGCCTGCAGCCTTCGGTTAGAATTACTAGAGCAAGGCTGCATGGCCATAACACACCAGATTTATTTCTTGATGCTGATGTGTAGGAGAGCATCCTTATAGATAGGGGGTATCCACTAAAGAGTTGGGGGCCCATAGGCTATCAAGTCAACTGTTCAGGACAAAAATTCTGTGCTGTACTTACAGCTATTTTATAATTTTGCTTTGTGATGACTTCCAGGAAGCCGGGAGTTAAAAATCAAAGAATTCAAAGTGCGCTTAGTTCTGGGAAGAACCACCAGGGGGCGTTCGCAGGCCAGGGAAATGTTTGCATCTAACTTTCCTCTTGCTGGGTTATTTCATTAAAACAGGAGTTGGTGTGGGTTTCCCTTGCTTCACCAAACTGACCAGGACAGAAATGGACCCACCAGTGGTAAATTCACTTTGCGGTGTCTCTATGAGGTTGCAAACAGAACTTCCCTTTTGTTTTTCAAACATTGCACGACTGGCTTTCTGGGCTGTTCCAAGCATCCCAGGAAGCCTGGCAGCCACCCCTGGCCTTTCCACCCTGGGTGCAGTCACATCTCTCCCACTGTGACAGCCAAACATGGCTCCAGACTTGGCCAAGTGTCCCCTGAAATCTCCCCCCGATCGAGAACTACTGCTCTGGGCAGTAAGACATTCTTGAAGCTGGCTGCTGTGGCTAAGAGGCTCAGCTGCACCTTTGTGTGGTCAGGGCCAGCTGCTTTCCTACCTCCTTCGGAAGAAGTGGTGTGGTGCAGTGGTCAAACCGCCACCTGGAACACCAGCATCCTATACGAGTGCTGGTTTGAGTCCTGGCTGCTCCACTTCCCATCCACCTCTCTGCTACTGCAGTTGGGAAGGCGATGGAAAATGACCAAGTGCTTGCACCCGGAGGAGTCCAGGCTCCTGGCTTCAGCCTGGCCTGATTCTTAGCTATTGTGGCCATTTAGGGAATGAATCAGTGATGCAATATCTTTTCTCTCCCTCTAATTTAAAATAAAATTTAAAAACATCCTTTTTTCATCTCACTTTTCCACCCCCTTCCCCAGGCACCCTGGCAAACCCAAGGTCCCCTCCAGCTGTGACGTCAAGAGTACAAACCTAACAAAGAACTCTCTCCTCAAGGTCAAGGGCCCCCACTTGCAGACCTTTAAAGCACGTTGGTTTCTCACTTCTTTCATGCTTCTGCATTCCCTTATGGTGAAGGTTTGCACTTCTCTCCCAGCCCTCAGTCAGCAGTGGCCTGAGGAGGTCCCCAAAGCATCTGTGGTCCAGCTCACAAAATGGCCAACTCCAGTTTACAACAAACCCATTGGAGCTGCAACTGGCCAGCTGTGGAAGGACCATCTCCTGCAGAGAGCCCAGGAAGGGTGCACCTTGGCCGGGGGTGGCCCCCGACAAGCCAATGGGCCTCCGAGAGCCATTGTCTGTGAAGATCTGGATGATGCTGTCACTTGAGGAGCCCAGACAACCATCGCCTGAAGGATGGCCATTTGCGATGGGCCCTGTATGGGATCAGGTCCTCTACACAAGGGTTGCTCAGGCTTTGTGGAGAGCCCCTCCCGGCCCCGGAGCAGACTGGGCCAGCTGCAGCAACAGGGTGCTCCTGAGGAGGGGGCAGCTTGGCTTCTTGCAGTCACTGGGCTTTGCAACAGGACAGGTGGTCATGCCTGACTCTGCTCCGAATATGTTGGATTGAAGTTGCCATGGAGTACAGGGCCTGTATGTGGCCTTGTCTGGGCTCTAGGGGGGCGAGACACAACCAAGCTGCAGGGTCTCCTGGTGGGGGAGGCTGTCCCCTTCTGCCTGCTGCCTTCCCTGTCTGGGCTAAGGCACCCCTAACACACTAAATCACCAACACTCCCCTCTGCTGAATCCTCTGTCCCATGGTGCTGGTGGGTTACAGGGCTGCCTCTTGCCCCCTGGCACTGGGCTCCCAGCAGCTGCTTCCTACCGCAGGAACCTGCCCCTGGGTCACAGCTGGAAGCACCAGACGAGCCCCAATGTGGGGGAAAGCAGGATTGAGACAGACCCCTGAGGTCCATGCCAGGGATGAGACTGGTGCCAGTTTTACATGGGAGACATGGTCTGTCTGGTCATTTGTTTCATCATCAGCAGACAGACACAGGTGACCAAAGTGAGAAGGGTCCTGCTGCAGTTCAGTGGGCCCAGCTGAGGCCCAGTACTGGCCCCAGGGCTCCTCCTCCCCTGCAACTGCCTCAACCCCACACTCCCCGGACGGTGTCATCCCTCACTCACCCTCAGTCACTTCCAACAGGTGCATTTCCTTTAGATGCAGCCAAAGGATTCGGAGGATCGTGGACTAACAGCAGCACCTAGCCCACGGGTCTTAGTGGCTGCGCAGAGAACAGCCTTGGACCAGAGCCCGCTCAGTAACTACAGGTGGAAGAGGCTCACAGCTTGGGCCACTGGCAGGTGGCAGGGGGCCCTAGCCAGGCCTCCTTGATCTGATGGGGCTGCCTTTCCTGTGACTTTACAACACCAACATTCACACCACTCGGAGAAGACCTTCGGTATATCAATATTAAATGAGACCATGTCTGTCGCGCACATCTGTCAGCAACAGGGATGACCTCGCTGTTTACACTGAAGAAAACAGTTTCCTTTGCCACAGATGTTAACTCTTTTATTAATTTAAGGTTAACATTGTATTTGCTTTGTTGATTTCTCTTTCTGGAGGTGTGGATTCAATAACAATGGCTAGGATTCCCCCGTCCCCAACCCGGCTCACAGGTGACAAGGCGGATGCACTTGTGATCGAAGGTCGAGGTGGGTGTGGGCGTAGTGGGGAGAGCAGGGTGACACGGGGAAAGACAAGGCTGACAAAATTTAAGGCAAATGTTACTCCCTTATTTGAGGGACTCGATCAAGCAAGATCTGTGCATTTCAATGAAAACATATGAAATATTTGTCAAAATTATTACCGTCGGTAAAAATCAGGACATGTAGCTTATAAAAACACCTACACAGGTTTGGCAGAAACAAAAGCCAACTGTGTCACGTAGGCAGGGAAGAGAGACAGACACAGGCGCCCCACCTTGACAAAGGTGCTTCAGAAAAGATCCTGTAAGACAGGAAGTGATGGGTGACTGACAACCAAGAGGCCGCATGGTCGACGGGGCACCTGCTGGCTGGCCACGGCCGCCTCCTCAACTGGTCCTATGCCAGTGAAAGGTGGTTGTCCAGCTAGGGCAGGAGACTCCCAGAGACACAGGGAGAACGTTGTAGAACAAGGAGCCCTCGGTGCTCTATGGAAAAGCACGCTGTGAGAGGGAACCTTCTAAGTCAGCAGCCGCTGTTTCCACAGGAGCTGACCGTGTAGACAAACTCCATCCCCAGTGGTCACAGGGTTTTATGCCCCTAAACTGACTTTTATTTACAGTCTGGCCAGACTGCCCTGCAGGCTTGGCAGCAGGTGCACAGCTGACGGGCTGTGGTTCAAGGTGCCCGAGGGCAGCCAGCAGGAGGAGGAGGGGAAGAGGACGGTGTGTGAGGCCAGGCGTCTTTGCTCTCTGCTTTGGTCCTGAAGGTTCAGTAAACTTGTGGTCCCAGAAGTGGCTGCGAAGTAGCTGGAGCTGTAGACTTTCCCAGTTCGTCAGAGGCAGAGCTGGGAGGATGTGGCCCTCCTGAAGCACCCCCACCCGCCTGAGCTGGGTGCCCAGGGGTGCTTGAGAAGACCTGGCCCCTGGGGAGATACAGCTGTGGGGGCAGGGCGCCGCCTGGCAGCAGGCTCTGGCCGACCAGTCTGGAGGAAGGTGGGTGGACAGACGGCTGGCCTGGATTGGAGAGCCCTGCTTTGGCAGCAGGCACCCCCTAGCCGGCCATGAGGCAGGTGCGGCAGCAGAACTGAATGAAGAGCTTCCGCTCACACAGCCGGTTGGACTTCACCATCTCACAGAACGTTTCGTCGGCTGGGACCCAGGAAAGGAAAGAGGGAGAGGTCAGATGCTGGGGCCCTGTTGGGATCGCTGATGCTGGGGCCCTGTTGGGATCTTGGCACACAGGATCACGGGGCAAGCGAGCGGATGCATGGGGAGGCGGGCAGCGGCCTTGGGGTTCTGCTGGCTTTTAAGGATGATCCCCTTTATTCACGGACTATACTCAGAGCCTCTCCTGGGGCACTGCCCCCTCACCTCCCCTCACCCACTGTCCTGGGCTGAAGGCAGAAGGTCAGCAGGGGATTCACTCAACAGGAAGCTTCCTGGCCTGGCACAGCATGGGCACCACCTTTGGTCCTCTAGTGAGTCCCCCAGACGGGTGGAGCACAGAGGCAGGGCCTCCCCGGAGACAGCTGGGTCCCTGCTGTTGGGCACTGGCCTGGACCCTGGCCTCTGTCCTCCTGGCCCTGGCCTCAGACACTCCAGGCCTGCTGTCCGGATTTCCTAAGGTCTGACCCCCTCAATGGGGAAGTTGTCACACCTGGCCACACCGAACGCCTGTGCCTTAGCAGAGGGACTGAGAGAACACAGTGATTTTTAACAGTCACTTAACAAACCAACTAGCTGGTGGGCAGCATGTCTGCTGGGTGCATGTATTAGAGGCCTCCAGGGGAGGCAGAAAAGAGGGCAGTTGTCATTCACATTAGCCACAGGAGCCCCTGACAGGTGGCGGGTGGAATCGGGGACAGGCGTATCTGGTCACGGGGGCGGCTGTGCCTGGGTTGTGTTTTCTCCTTTGCCCATGGGCGAGCCCAGCGAGAGCAGCCCCCCGGGGGTGACAGCACCCGCGGCTCACCGTTGCTGCATGTGTGGTTGGTGATGCATGTGGTCCCCAGCTGCGTGAAGCCGCTCTTGCACCTGCTGCAATTCCTGCTGGAGCCCTCGCAGCTCAGGCAGTTTTCATCACACCTGTGGGAAGAGGCAGCTCCCGCTGGGTGTCGGGGAGAGGCTCCACCATCTCAGGGCCCCCGGGCCCTCCCTGGACCCCCTTCTGTCCCTTTAGCAGCTGCCAATGTGCCCCCCACGATGTGCTATGTATTCACAGGTCCTTCTTCCTGTGCGACCTCACCACTCTCCTGCAAGGACCAGTTGGCAGGAGCGTGTCTAAGAGCTGAGGCCAGGCCTGGACTCGCGGACTGCCACTTCTCTGCAGAGCTCAGGTGCTTCTGGGCAGGGTGGGGTGCCGTGACAGACAGGAGGCAGCCCGTGGCCCACACTCTGATATTGAGCCCCTTACAACATGCGGTTTACAGGTGTCCTCCCCACACCTGCGCAGGACACAGTGCTCCCACGTGCTGCCCACCAACCCTGCTACTGCTGGCAAGCCCATGGCTGGAGTTTGGAGAGGGTGAACAGTGGCAGGATGCCCCAGCTGGCCCTGGGAAAGAGCCACTGGGTGCCAGCAGTGAGCCCCTGGGGCCCCTGTTTCAGAGGCTGGCTCTGGTCATATGGCCTCTGCTGGCCCCTAAGTGACTTCTCCAGTCAGGATGGGGTGCACTTTTAGAGTTCTGCAAATGTGGGACACCCCCCCGGAAAACCCGTATCCAGGGGCCTCGCAGTTTTCTCCTTTTGCAGCAAGAACCTGCCACGTGCCCCACCCAGGTTGCCATGGAGGGTTGGTTATATGGGACCCCATTTCTCACGCACTTTTCAGGAGCACTAGGGCCTGGCCCCCAGCATGCTGCCTCCTCACTCCCACCCCAGCAGTGGTCCAGCCGCAGGGGATGCCCCGCCCCCTGGTCTGACCATCTGACTGAGGGCCCGCTGTGGGGCTCATGGGCACCATCTCAGGGCACCATCTGACTCCCCAGGGTCCCTCACAGATGGTGCCCATGAGCCCCACAGCGGGCCCTCAGTCACCTGCCTGAAGCCTGGTACACTCCCACACTGACTGAGTCACTTTAATCAGACAATACAGCGTGGACGGGGCTGGAGTGGTCTCAGCAGGATGTGGTCTCCTTCCAGATTATTTACGGAAAATGTCATCCAAAGGTAATGTTCTAGTGCAAAGACATTTTGCAATCTATGCTTTATAAGGAGTCTTCAAAAAGAAGATAGTAACTACATATCATGAAGAAACTATGCATGTGTTGTAAATAATTTTTTGTAGTTTTTAAAATTTTGTCATTGACATATATATTTGCAAATAAATTTTTATAGCTATATTTTACTTATTTGAAAGACAGAGAGAGAGAGAGAGAGAGAGAGAATCATCTGCTGGTTCACTGCCTAGAATGCTGCAATGGCCAGTGCTGGGCCCGGCAGAAGCCAAGAGCCTGGAACTTCATCTGGCTCTCCTGTGTGGGTGGCAGGCGCCCGAAGCACTGAGACCTTTATCTGCTGCGCTCCCAGGTACTTTAGCAGGGAGTTGGACAGGAAGGGCAGCAGCTGAGACTTGAACCAGCACCCACATGGGATGCTGACACAGCAGGCAGAGGCTTAATTTGTTGTGCCACAATGCAGGCACCATGGGTTTCAGAAATTTTTTGCACCGAAGTACAGTTACCTCTGAATTTCATTTTCCGTTAACTTTTTGAAGTGTCCTAGTGGTGCAACCTCCCAGAGTTCAGGGAGGGAGATGGCAGGAGTCCTGACTTCCTATTGCTGTGGAAAATAACCACAGACATGGCGGGTTCAAGCAACACCCTGTCCACAGGCTCCCACTTACGCAGTCAGAGTCCAGTGGCCAACTCAGGGTCTCACAATGGCTGAGTGGCAGCCTGGCAGCCAGCCTAAGGGCCAAGAAGACACTCCAGGGTCCCAGGGGCAGGGTGGGGGGCTGTCTCCCAGGGGGCTCCTTACTTGCCAGGGGCTCCTACTTCCTTCTGCCAGGGTCACATGCTGGCAGGTGGGGGTATAGGCTCCTGAGCTGCCTCTGGCTCTGCCAGTCTGCTGTACGTGCCTCACCCCAAGGCATCCTGGCAGTGGTGCCCTGCTCAACTCAGGGAGGGAGGGTGCACCCACTGTTGCCTTCTCTCCCCGCATCACTGTCGGGTCATCCTACCAGCCTTTTGTCTTTGGGCTGGTCTGGGAGAGAGCCAGTGAGCAGACACCCCAGAACAAACATGGGCTGTGTGCTTCCTTCAGGAGCTCTTGCCTCACTCCTGTCTCATGAGGCTGCAGGTGTGTCCCCCGGGGAGCAGGGGGTGGAAGGGGAGGGCTGGGGCCTGAGCAGTGAGGCCAGCAGCCCACAGAGCCGCTCAATTCTCCCAAATCCCCTGCTCACTCTTCCTAAGTCCTAGGTGTCCGGTTCCTCTTTTGAGATCTTGTCTCTGCTTTGGCTCTCAGTTCCACCTGCCTCCTGTACATCCAGGCCCATGTCCTGGCCACCTGCTTCCTTGGAGCAGACCCTGCCTGTCCTGGGGGACAGTCACAGTGCCAGTCATTGTCCTGGGGCCTGGGGAAGCCCGTGTCTCCCTCCAAGCCACTGGAGGTCCTTGTCACTGGGAGTCTGATGGGGACTATGGGGCTAGGGGAGTTTGACTGATGGAAGCTTCCTGAAGTACAGTTGTGTCAGCATCCAAGCAGCAGCGCTGGGCAGTTCCTGGTGACATCTGCTAAGCCCTGCTGCACTGGCCCCAGCATTGCGCCCCCACCAGGCTGACAGTGTCAAGCCTGCACCCAGGGAATGCCTTGGCCTCTGCTGCCCACAAAGAGGCTTAGGGGAAGTCCAGAGCCTCCTGCTTTTCTCCAAGGGACGCCACAGCCTCTGGTGTCTGCTGGGGACCCAACCACCACGGCTGAGGCACCCTAGCATTCCCCGGAGTGCTGGCATCTGCCAGGTGAAAGGGATGCTCACTATGCCATCCCATGTTCTCCCTGGGTTGCCATCCTGTGGGTCATTACCCACGGAGCAGCTGCCTGTGTACACAGCCCTGAGCAGGAACCCGTGGGGCTGGTATAGGCAGCAAGCTTCCACTACTCAAGTAGAGAGGCTGGCCTGGCATGGAACTGGCCCCCACGCTTGTGGGTCATCTGAGAACCCGGACTTGGTAGCTTCTGGTTGGCTCAGTGCTGGGTCATTGTTTTGCTTGGTTTTGACTGTTTTTAAGGGGACAGATGACAAATCACACCAGTTCTCAAAGCCAGTCTGGAAAGAGTGAGTCTACCAACCCTGGAAGCTGGCAGCTGGGCATGGTTGCCAATCTTTGGACTGGCAGGAACCTCCAGGGTGCCCTAGTTGAGTCTGTGTCACACAGAAGACCCTAGTCCGGCAGCCCACCCCACTACTGTATGCTCCACGTCACCCTGGTATTCTTGCCTTAACAAGATGGGCGTCCTGCCTGGGTCTGGGTCATCATGTCCTACACAGGACAAACTCCAAGGCAAGTGGCTTCTGTCTCAGTCCAGAGGGAAGACAATGTGGCTGGTCTGATCACTGCATAAGAATGCTAGATGGTATGGGCACCCAGAAAGGCATGGCATGGGGCAGGTGAAGGCAATGATGCTCCTAGGGTGTCAACACATCTGACTTAAACTCTTTACCAACAACCCAAATGCACTTTCCTCAATGACCACCTTTGTAAAGGAATTCTGAGCTGGAGCATGGCTGGGGCCACCCTGTGGGGGCTGGTACTGGTGTGATAGCCCCAAGGACAGGGCATCACTTGGCTTTCTGCCCCATCCCTGCTGCCACCCAGTGCCAGGCACGTCCCTCCCCCAATGCCCCAGGGCAGGAGCATGGCTGCACCTGTTCCCCTCTCCACTGTTTGGCTGGACGCAGCTGCCCACTATGCCCTGGTAGTCTAAGTCATCACTCCAGGGACTTGTACCTGCGACACACTTTGTGGGGCAAGCCCGGCATCTCCTCGGGGTAGAAGCCCTCGCCGCAGGTTGGCACACATTTCCAGTCATGGAAGTGGAAGTTTTTCGCACAGTGAATGCATTCTTCTGTGCTGGGGCCTGAGAAGGACAGGAAAGGCACAGCTGTCAGGGACCCAGCCCAGGCCAGGTTCCGGGGGCAGCATGCAGGCTCTCCTTGGACCCCATCATCTGTACTGCCCTTCCTCCAACACCAGCACCCATGATGCCCAAGGAGCCTGGGGGCGGGCAGGAGTGTGTGGTCACGTCTGTGCTTAGTTCAGTGTTGTGGCGATTACACCTGAGAGGGTAACACAGTGACTTGGAGAAGGCAGGAGGGGCTGGAGGAGGCTGCTGCTGGTGGTGGAGGCTGCACCGTGGCCAAAGTGTCCTGATGGCCCCTGCGCTGCTCCCAAAGGAACCAGGAGGGTGAATGGCACAATAAAAATAAAACTCGAGTGAAATTACAATTCCTAAGCAAGTCATCTTCTCAACTACAGAAAGGCATGTATTTTCTAACACAAAATCTCTTAAGGAGTCGATGACCTATGCATCTTTTAGGCTACACCTTAAAAACCCACAGTCAGAAGAATGACAGCAAAGTGAGCTGGGCTGGAGGGGAGCAGCCACATCCTTTGTGGATGAAAATGAGGCGCCTTGGTTAGGGGCAGGAGAGCGGCAATGCCCATGTCCCACATCGGAGGGGGGCGGTCTAGGTTCAACACCCAGGTCTGCTCTTGATCCCAGCCTCTTGCCAGTGTGTACCCTGGGAAGCTTCTCAGCCCCACGGGACACGAGGGTTGAGTTTCCAGCCCCAGCTGCTGCTGGCACTTGAAGAGTGAGCTAGCAGAATGGAACTCCATCTTGTCTCTCCCGACTTTTCAAAACCAATGAAAAAAAAGGCAAGAAAGGGGCTAGTGCTGTGGTGCAGTGGGCCAAGTCTAGACCTGCTGCACTGGCATCCCACAGGGGTGTCTCTTTGAGTCCCAGGTGCTGCACTTCCAATCTAGCTCTAAGGTGCCTAGGGAAGCAGCAGATGGCTCAAGGATGAGACCAGGAAGAAGCTCCTGCCTCTGGCCCAGAAAGAAATTTAAAAAGCAGGAGAAATGAGCTGCTAAAAGTCCCAAGACCAACAATTTCTTCTGCCATCTGTCTCTACCGTCCTGGTGGTTTTCATTTGCCAGTTCATGTGGTGCTGTCTCGGGTGTTGGAAGTTTCCAGGCAAGGGCTGACCCTCACAGGTGCCTGGGAGTGGCCTCCTGACATGTCCTATGTGGACCCATCATGCCTGGTGGCCAGCTGACCCATGCAGGTAGCTGAGACTGATGCAGGCCAGGCAGCGAGAAACTTCTGGATGACCCAGAGCAGGAAGTGGGGGCACCACTCAGAGGCTGCCCGTGGCCGGATGTTCCTCCCCCAGGAGGAAGCTTCAGACAAATTAAATTCCTGACTGGACTGAGATGAGAAAAGCTACAAGCAACTTTATAAAACTGTCTGCCATCAGGCTGTCTGGGGACCACAGAATGAGAGGTAAACTGACTGAGCTTGAGCGTTACACAGCTGCAGGCCTGACTGAAGTGACTTGGGGCTCCCGTGCAGGTGCTGTGGAGCAGTGGGTTAAGGTGGCACTTGGGACAAGGCATCCTCCATCCAAGTGTGTCCTCCACTTCTCCGCTAATGTGTGCCCTGGGAGGCAGCAGCTGACGGTTCAAGTGCTTGAGAGAACCAAGTGGAGTTCCAGCTCCTGGCTCCTGCCTGGCCAGCCCTGGCCGTGGGGGCACTTGGGCAGTGAACAGCAAATGGAAGACTGATCTCTTTCTCACTTGCTTTCTGTTTTTTAAAAGAATGTATGAGTAAATAAATCACCACAGGTAAGTTTTTAAAACCAACCTGGCCCACCCAGTGAGTCAAGAAACAAAGAGTAAAAATGATATGAAAAGAGAAGTAAAACTGCTAGGAAACTCCTGAATTAGCTGTGGCAGATCCCCAGGACACAGCTCCTTCTGAGCTTGTCTGAAGGGGCTGCATCTCCCACAGGTAGCTGAAGGCCAGCGTGCCCATCACTTGCCCATGTTGCTTGGCCCTGGCAGTGGCCTCTGGACCGCAGAGTGGCTTACAGGGCCACCTGGGGAAGGCTGGCCCATCCTGGAGGCAGGATCGAGGCAAGTGCAACTTAGCAAGGACCTAACCCTTGGCTCTTTCCTGAGAGTATAGCACATCTGATGCAGGTTTGTCAGAATGGAAGAAAGTGCTGAGGGCAACAAAGAGGGTCGAAAGGAAGAACCCCAGCTCAAACCCTAGGCAGCCTACAAGCTCATGATGGGCTTCGGCTTCTGGTGAATGTAGCTCAAGATGAAACCTGAAAAAAAAAACATGCCTTCTCCATTCCTTTGCATAAACCTGTCCTGGGATGCTGAGGTGTGGTACCGCACATTAAACTACTACCTGCCAGGATCCCATTAGAGTGTGCCAGCTGGGGGGGGGGCGGGTCTGGCGGCTCCAGCTCTGATCCAGCTTCCTGTATTGTACCTGCCAGGGTAGCACAAGGCGGTCTAAGCATTTGGGCCTCTGTAAGATGCTCCTGGCTAACTCTGGCCCAGTCCTAGCTCTTGTAGCCATTTAGGGAGTGAACCAGTAGATGGAAGATCCGTCTCATGTTCTCTCTTTCTTATTCTGCCTTTTAGATAGCTAACTAAATAAAACATCACTAAGATTTATTTTAAAAGTGAATAATTTGGGTTGGGCTAGGCTGAGCTAGGAGCCTGGGACTCTATCTGGTGCCTCTCAAGTGCGTGCAGGGGCCCAAGTGCTTGCACTATCTTCCACTGCTTTCTTGGGTGCATTAGTAAGTTACTGGATCAGAACTGGAACAGCTGGGACTTGAACCCATGTCCTTATGGGATGCCTGCCCTGCAGGGTACAGCTTAACCTGTGCCACCATGCTGACCCCAAATAAATGGTCCTCTATAAAGGTAATGCGTGGGAAATATCTGTGCTATAATTTTTGTGGAGATTTAAAATACATGTAGCGCTGTATATGGAAGTCTTTTTCTCTGAACAAAATGTTTATAATAAGTGAAGATTCAGGCACAGACTATAAAAGCTTGTTTTAAAGCCTCTGCCACCTGACCCTTCACCCCACCTCCTAGAGCTCCCCGCATCATCAGGCACACAGCACAGGGCTCCAACCAAGATGACGTTCAGGCAGCGGACATGGCTGTTGCCTCTGCAGCCAGACAGCGTCCACCACCCGGCTGGCTGCCCACTGGGAAGCATCCCTTAGAATGGCCTTCAGTTGTTGGGGTTTTATTTTATTTTGTGTACAAGTTCAGTCTATCCACAGTGTTGTGCAAGCATTGCCGGCACTCACCCATAATTCTCTTCATCTCACACAATTGAAACTCTGTATCCATTAAACAGTCACTCCCCCTCCTCCTCTTCCATTGGCTCCTGGTAGCGCCTTGGTGCTTTTTTGTTTTATTTTGTTTGTTTTTTCCTGAGTTGCCTTTGTGTTTTAATGCTACAGTGGATGCCAAAGTCCGTGAAAGTCCAGCAGTTTGTTCCAGGATAGCTAGTCCACCTGCCTCAGCCACCATGGTTCCGGCAGTCTGCTCCGACTACCCAGCAAAACAAATCTAGGTCCTTGTAGAGCATGTACTCACCCACGCAGGTCCGACAGGTGTGGTGACATTGGCCACACTGGATCAGCTCAGAATCAAAGTAGGTGCCTGGTTCACAGTCGGGGATGCAGCTGCCCCGTGCAAGGCTGCGATGGAGGAAAAGCGACAGGTTTCCACACTGATTCCAAAAGCCTCCGAGACCCCTTCCCAGAGGAAACGTGACCTACTGAAGCACAGCTCTCTATGTCACGAAAGGCTCCCAGCTAAGGAAAGCTGGAAAAGCTCTCCTGGGGCCAGGCAGAGGCCTGGGCCTGGGCAGCAGGGCTGCACGCCACTCCCTCCCCACCCTCTACTGGCTCCTCTTTGCTACAGCTCCTCGAACTTGAAGCTGAGTGCTAGGAGGAAGAGCGGGCAGTGTGGGGCATCCCTGCTGCTGGCTCAGCCTCACCTGCCCAGGTCCTCCTTGAAGGGGCAGCAGAGATAGGGTGTGAGGCCATGGAGGTTGTAGCATGATCCTGCTTGTGCCTCCCCCTGGCTTGAAAGCATCCATCACTTCACAATGAATTGGAAACTGGATCCCCACCAAGGGGCCTACTTCACATGGCTTTCATCTTCCCCTTCTCCAGCCGCACTGTCTGACCAAGCTGGAGCATCCAGGTCAGATCTGGCCTCTGCCACTACCCAGCTGTGCAACCCTAGGTGAGCCAGCTACCTGTTCTGCACCCCCTTGTTTCCTCTGAAAACGGGTTCCTGCATCATGAACTGGCTTGGAGAACTCAGTGGGCAACTAGAAACAAACCACTGGGTGCCTGGCACCTGGCTCTACAAACCCACTGTGATTCCTTTAATTCCTGAGTTTGCCCTGTGCTCTAAATGGGCTTATGGCTAAATGCACTGAACAAGCGCCCTGCTGCACTTCTGTTGGATCCAGAGGGTCCTGCTGGGATACTGTGATTTGTACTTGGACACACAGATTTGCTCTGTCCTGGCACGCAGTTCCTAATACTCCTGGAATCCCCCAAATGAGACACATCGCTCTGTATGTTAATGAGGTGACTGGCAGTATGCTAATGGCTGCTGGGGCCTCCCCAGTGGCCTCACAATAGGAGTTGGCTGCCAGGGAACCCCCCCTCCCAGGATCCAAGAGTTAGTTGTTCAGCCCACCACCCTGACCTGCATGGAGCAGAGAAGAGCTGAAAGCTAACCTGACCACCCAGGGCTGATGATGTCATCCCCCCCATGCTTACATCACAAAGCCACCTGTGCCTAGAGAGCACAGGGTGGTAGGGGCTTCCTGGCTGCTGCACAGGGGCACACCCATGTGCTAGGGTGGTGCCCCAGACTCCTGCACATTTGGTATGGTGGCATTCCCCACACAGGATCGGAGCCATCTGAACTGTGCAACTGTGTCCCCGCTAACATCCTTTGTAATACATGGGCAAAACCAAGTGTTTCCTGACTGCCATGAGCTGCTGTAGCAAATGCATCAAACCTGAGGGGGGCTGTCGCAGGAATGCTTACAGCAGTGGGGCGGAAGTATGATGGACAATGTCAGGACCCAATGACATCACAGGCCCCCCAGCTGCCGTCTACTGGAGAACGGCTCCCATGCAGATTGGTGTGCGCAGGTGAACTTTGTGATGCCAGGTGTGGGGAGCACTAAGTTCCTGTCTCCTGTGGCGCAGGGGCTGCTGTGTGTACAGTGGTTCAGCCATGGCTTTTGTGCTTGATATGGCCATATGAACCTGTCTTGTCTCTATCCACTGGAACATGGGGATGGCTGGGAGACAGCGGCCAGCCCCTCCCCCTGCTGTAATGTGACGGTCATGACCTGGAGTTGGAGCCCAAGAGAATACGTGGCTCACAGCTGACTGCATCCTCAGGGGCAGGTCCCTCCTGTGCTGGACTCCCTGCTTTGGCTGTGTGACCCCTGCTCCCTTGCTACCACACTGTTCCTGAACCAAGCATCCAATGCTGCCCCGCCCCACCCCCAACGAGACACAGCAGAGGTTTCGGTGGGACCCCTGGCTCCCCTCTCCCAAAACGGGTGTTCAGGAGTGGCCACCACAACACTTCCTGTGCCCAGGTTAGTGCTGAGGACCCCAGCAGGTGCTGTCTGCTCCCCTTAGGGCCCAGGACACCAGCGCCACTGGCTTCTCCCAGTTCACCTCAAACCTAGATGAGCAAGTCCAGCTCTAACTGGACCCGAGGCTTTAACAGACTCAAAATCTTTGCCCTGGAAAACAAAAACAAACAAACAAAAAACACCTGGGACCCCCAACGCAACAAAGCGCGGCGCAGGACCTCAGCCCTGGCACCCGACGGGCCTCCAGGAGCCTTGCCTGAATCCCTCTTTGCACACCGTACACCTTTCGGGTTCGTCCACACACTTCTTACAGCTCGGGTGGCATTTCAGGCAATTCTTCTGACCTGGAGAAAAACGGCAAGAGGACAGGAGAACTGAGGGCTCCAGGCCAAGCTGGTGAGTCCCCAGCACTGGGGCTGGCAGGTGGCACCTCCCACTGCCACGCCAACAGTCACGGCACAGCCGGAGCCACATGGACTGCGGGCCTCTCCCCTCCCTGAGGCTTGCGGAGCCGTCCTTCTCCAGGGCACAGGTGTCCTGGTCCCACTCAGGGACTGGCGTCAATTTCCAGATGGCTTAGGTAAGTGCAAAGCCTTGCAAACCTGACAGGGGAGCCTGAGGACCCCGTCCTAGTGGACCCCCACTAGTGCCTTTCCAGGGGTCTGCATCCAAAACCTTCATACGGTGAGATGGGGGTCAATGCTGAGCCACTACACCACACCTTGAGAATCAGGGTCCCTGACGCCTACCTTCGTTTCTCCATTTCAGCTCAGCTCTTCCCAGAAGGTGCTTTTCTCCCTGTTTCAACTGCTGACCACTGCTCTAAGAACACAGCTGACTCCCTGACTCGTGGCCCCATACACCTGTTGTGAGCAGCAGCAGGCAGTCTTTCTTGGGGGAAAAGCTGCAGGGTATCCTCCTCTGGGGCTTAATCAGAGCCCGCCCTCCACAGTGGACATGGACTTGCAAATGCCAGAGATTCTCTGCATTCCGGATCGCTGTGCTCCTGGCCAGTGGGGTGGGCATGTTGGCTATTAACCGACAGGGCCTGAGGGCTCTGACTTTGCCACACCCCCCTTTCCTCACCTTGTGAAAAGCCCTCATCTAAAACCACACTGCATACAAGAAGCACAGGACCCAGAAATTTCTCCCAGGAAAGGGGACCCCAGTCACCATCCCAGGGCCACTTACTGTCATCGGCATAAAAACCAGTAGGACAGAGGGTCACGCAGGTGTTCATCTCCTGGTGGTGATAGAAGCCACGCCGGCAGGACAGGCACTGCGTGGGGCTCCTGCCAGAGCACGTCTCGCAACCTTTGTGGCATCGGCGACAGCGTCGCGCTGCTATGTCCCCAAAGTAGCCCAAAGGGCACGTGCTGACACACTTCCTGTGGGGGCAGAGCCAGGTAAAGGACTTCCCCAGAGTTCAGCTGTCCCTCTCAAGTAAGCAAACCCCTAGGACCCAAACGGGGGTGAAGACAGTTACAGTGTGCTTGGCCTGGAGGCTCTGGCTCAGGCTGCCCAAGCACACAGCAGGGCAGAAGGGATGCAAAGCAATTCAGATGGGTCAGGCACCTGCTTTGACCACACCTGCTGAACCTGCAGGAGGACCTCAGCAGGTCATTCCCAAGTCAGGGCACCATAATGCTGCTATTTGACTTTTGGTTTTGGGTTCTGGCAAAGTTCTGTGGTGGCCATGAGTTCTCCAGGGCAGTGGGAAGAGCCAGAAAGGTCAGCACTCTGCCCAGGCTGAGTGTAACCATTTGAGCAGGACACCATGCCAACCACCCCTGCCTCCCCCACCTCCACAGCACACTGCTGTATGCCTGCTTGGGCCTTTGTTGTGGGTATGGGTGCACTTGTCAGAAAAGTAGGGAAGGGAACTAAAAAGGCAGTTCTCCCAGGGTCCAGCACAATGGCTCCACTGGCTAATCTTCCCCTTTCAGCGCCAGCATCCCATATGGGCACTGGTTCCCAGGTGCTCTACTTCCCACCCAGATCCCTGCTCATGGTTTGGGAAATCAGAGGAAGATGGCCCAAAGTTTTGGGATCCTGAATCTGTGTGGGTGACCCAGAAGAGGCTCTTGGCTTCAGACAGCTCAGCTCTGATCGTTATAACCATTTGGGGAATGAACCAGCGGATGGAAGACCCTTGTCTCTTCTCTCTGTAAATCTGCTTTCCCAATAAAAATAAATCAGTCTTTACCCAGAGGAGCTCAGGGGACAGAGTTCAGGGAGGGGCAGCAGGAATATGCTGAAGCATACTCTCCCCACATGCCAGGGTCAGCGAGCCTGAGCAATGGCCACATGCCTGCAGCCCACAGCTTTCCCTAAGCACCCAGTGTCCCAGGGGCGCAGCAAGGACAGCATCTGTGCAAGCCACACATGCAGCCAGTTGCCAGCTTGTGTGACAGCCAGGTTCCCGCAGCCTGCCTGGCTAGGCCAACAGTATTGAGCCCTGGAGTCACATTTGTCTTAAGTGCCCATGTGAGCAGCCCTGGCATGCTCATAGAACCTGCTTGTATTCAGAAAAATGGACAGAGGGAGGCTTGTGAGCACAGAACTGAAGTGCCACAGCTTGATTTCTCTGGAACAGATAACATAACTTATATGAAGAAATAAAGTGACCGACCTCAGTGCTGTCTCTCCTGGGATGTTACATGAACGTCCACCTTAACAGGAGTTAGGTAGGGTATTCATGGGAGGAAGGGGTCCCTGGGAGTCCAGGAAGATTAAGGGTTACCCCAGCACTTACCTGCTGGTCTTGAGGTTCCCCAGGCTGAAGTGCACGCAGTTCAAGCACTGGTCCGCACCGGGGCCGTCGCAGCCCTTGTCGCCACACTCAGGATGGCAAACACCTTAAAGAGACAAGCATTTCCTTTCGTCCAGAGAGATGCTTTCCCTCCCAGGCCTGGTGCCCTGAATCCCTGGGTCAGAACCCTGAAGACTGGCAGGGGTAGGACATGGTGGCCTAAGAGTGGTGGGTGCTAGGGCCTGGAAGGCCAGGCCACAAGCTATAGCAGCCACTCTCCTGAGACCCAGTCCTGGCCCAGGCTGAGACTAGCCTGGCTCTGGGGTGAGAGTCTGAACATTCTAGACAAGAACTTCCTGGCAATGGGTGAGACAGCCAATGAGATGGGGGACCAAGACCAGACTGTGGCATCCAGGAAGACAGGCATGCAGGGAAGGAAAACCTTCTGAGCCCACTCACTCGCATCACAGTCATTACCCTACCAGTCAGTGTTTTGATGTCCCACTGCGAAGAGCAATGCAAGGCAGTGTGGGCATTTAGGGCATTGGGGATGCCACCACCAAACTGAGAGGACCTAACGTGATTAGTCAGGGATGGTGGATTTCCTGAGTCAGGACCATACAGACTGGCTGTCCCTGAGCAGGTGTGGGGCAGGACCATGACACCCTGGCAGCAGGATGCTGGGGCGGGAGGCAGTGCATATGGCCAAGGTCAAGGCTCCCTGCAGGAACTTCGCTTGTGGCCTCCCTGGCTCCAGCCCCCAGTGGTGGGGAACTGACATCTGCCTGCAGACCCCCTTTGTGTCCACAAATTCTAATGGGGTGCTGGGCGTGGCCAAAGAAGAGACAGGTGTGTTTACTGGGCTCTGGCAAGCCTCTGCCTTCTAAGTGCCTCCCTGGCTGTGCCACAGGGATGGGCCCAGCCCCATGCAGTGCCAGGAAAACCTGTTGGGTTGATCTCAGGAGACACCCGGGACCTTGACAGAACAAGGCCCTTCTGTAAGGTTTGAGTCACCAGGGGTGTGGGGTGCGGGCAGAAGCCCAAGAAGGTCAGTGGGTCAACGTCCCCCCCCCTGACACACTTCTGGGGAACCCGGGCTGGGGGCAGACACGAGTCCTCACTCTGCACTGCCCACAGAGTGGCCTGGTGAACACATGCTCGCCCCTCCCCAGTCCCCCAAGCTCGCACTCCCAGTGCGAGGCCTGGTTACTCTGCTTCCCCTATAGAAGCTTCCTAGATGCTACTACCCTTGCCTGCCCTGTGGATGCCCCCTGAACCGGGGCAGCCCCCTGCCTGCCCTGTGGATGCCCCCTGAACCAGGGCAGCCCCTCCTGCCTGCTTCTGCCATGGGTGCCAATGTTCTCTGTTCTAGACATGCCTACCACTTCCCGAGCCATCCCCATTTCCATGCTGCTTCTCTGGGTTGGAGCCACTGCTCAGCTTCTGTTCTGATGGATGTCTTCCTGGGTCCTTACAGGAGGAACCCCAGAAACCCATGCTTGCTGCCCTGAGGCGGGTCTGAAGACCCACAGATTCTGGTTGTGTCTCCGGCCTCCCCGCAAGCGTGGCCTTGGTGACATAGAGACTCAAGGACACTGCACCCTTTTCTCCTGCAGCTCCCTCATGCCAAAGTCGAGGGAGGCAGCAGGTTTACCTGCTGGATGGACAATTTCCTCTACCTGCAGGAGATCAGAGGTAGGGAACAGTTATCAGAGGTAGGCCACAGTTATTCCACCTGCAGACAGGATGTGGCATGGTGCAGTCACCATGGTGTTCCAGCACCCAGAACTCACACAGCAAAGAACAGGCATTCAATAAACACTTGCTGAGCTGTTAACCAGGGGCAGGGTGCAAGGCAGATGGATGGATGGGGAATGTGTAGAAAGGGAGTAAGTAGTGGGGTCTTCATCATCCAGTAGCAGAATATTCTGCAAGGTCCCACAAGGGGACAGAGTTGTGGACAGCCTGGAGTGCTCTGTGGGAAGCAGACTTCATCCCCACTGATTTCCTGCAGTGGGAAGTGTCGTCAGTACTCCCGAGGGAACCCCCTGCAGGGCTGAGGCCACGCAGCAGCCAGGCCATGGCTGCATGGAGCCCTGGGCTTGGAGGTCTTACACGAGAGTGCCTGAGAAATCATGGGCCAAAGAGCCTCGCAGCTTGCAGCTCTCAAATACCACACATCGTCTCTCGCTTGATGCCCTGGATGAATCCACCTGGCTGGCCTCCAGTCCTAGTCACTCCTCTCCGAAGAACACTCTGGCCCAGTGGTCACTCACGCTAGGGGCAGGGCAGGTGCATGGTGATGTGGCCCATACTTGCCACTGCTTTTGCTCTTCCCTCCATTTGTTCACACACCTCCTGCATCAACTCCCTGACTCCTAACACAAGACTGGGCCTGGGCTGCTAACAGTGGGGCCTCCTCCACATAGAGTTTATTGGAAAACTCCACCTGAAGCCCACTGTGCAGCTGGCTGAGGGTTCTTACAGCAGACCCCAACAGGCAAATGGACGGGAGAAAGCAGTGTGTGGGCCTTCTGGTCAGGCCGTGATACTGTGTGTGCCATCTTTGCCTACAGTTACCCCATCCAGAGAGCACACGGGACTGCAACCCAATGCTATCGGATCTGGTGCACATGCAAGAGTCAGGTTGCCCGACTGTGGATGAGAAGGCGAGGCCGTTCCTTCCCATCCTGCCTGCGTCCTCTGCTCCCACCCCTGAGGAGCATGGCTCGGAGCACCTCACACTGTTGGCTCCACCTTAGGGTGGCTCCCTCTCCTGGGCAGCAGCTCAGTCTGGCCCTAAGGGCCCTGCAGCTGGGCACCCCCACGGGAGCCCCCTCCCTCACAAGGCGTGACCCAACCACCGGCATTCCTCTTTCTATCACTTCCTCTATTTTCCATCCCAGGGAGAGCCATCCTCATCCTTGCGCTGGGTGGTGCACCCCCTATGCCTTGGGCTCCAGCAGATTCCCCACTGTTCTCCATACGGCAATAGTTTCCTTGTCCCCAAAGCCAAGCCAGATGGAGCCTCCACTGATCTGGGCTCATCATCTTCCATGTGTCTTTTGCTCTTGACCTTGCACTGTCCTACAATGTGGGTACACACGATCCCCCACCCCCATCTCTCCCTTGCTACTCTGCCACTGTTCCATCCACACCCCTTTCCCTTGAGACCACCAGGAGCCTTCTAAGAGTGGGGAATTCCCTTGAGGACCCCATCTGTCCATCCCCAGGCCTCACTGGATGGGACCAGGTAAACAAAGCCACAGGAGAGCATCCCAGTGAATTTCCAGGGTGTGAAATTGACTCAGTAGCAGATTCTAAGGGGATGGGGGGAATACCCAGCCTTTTATAAATAATTACTGAATCTTGCCATGGCTTACAAATTACAGGGGAAATGGAACAGATTAATCCATACATAATTCAATGGTCTGCTTTAAAAGAAAGGTAGAAGAAATCTAAAAGGGAATTGGCCATAATTTATGCTTGCTACGTATTAGTAGAATTCTCTATTTTGTTGTTTTTTTCCCTGCAGAAGACATTAGACAACTCAAAGCATTAATATTCTTAGCTAGCACTCATTGTTTATCAAGAGAACACAATATTCAGCCAAGGAGAATATGTCCAACTGCAAACACCACAATTTGGCACAAATTACTATGGAACAGCTCAGAGAGAAGGGAACAGCATTTGATCAAAAATGCTGATAAAAACTGCCCTGCTCTGTGGCTAGAGGTGTCTGAAGTCATGTTCTGGGCTTTGTGGCTTGGGTGCTGGGGTGGAGCAACATGGTGGCCTAGAGCCAGGGGCCACTTCGGCAAGGGGACTGTGGGAGAAGGATGCCTACGTTGCATCATGCTGTGTAGTGAGAGTTGTGAGGACATTTCTGTGTGGTGTCAGTGTGTGTTGATGTTGCCTCATGTGACCACACCCTGGCCTTTTAATGCCAGCCATTGGGATGTCTTCCTTGGCTGTGTGTGTTCACAGATTCAAATTCTTCAGGGTCATCTTTAGGAAGCTTGTCCTTCCCAAGTTGTGGCCATGGACAGGAAATGATGGTCTTGGTGTAGTGAGGAGGCTACACCATGCGATGAGGCTCTCTGGGGCAGAGGATGCCCTGGAGGTAGCTAATTAACCAGGGGGCAGGTCTGGGCCTGGCAGGGCCAGTGCCAGCTGGGAGTACAGGAAGATACTTACTGGTCTGCGGCATACTTACTGGCCTGTAAAATATTAGGAGAGCCTTGGGCGGAAGGAGCTGTGTGAGTGCAAATTACCACCATTATTTCCACTTTCAAGCATGAGGAGTCACAACCACACCCCGCCTCTGCTGCAACAGCTCTGCTGCGTGGGAGCCAGGGTGGGAACGCGGACCACCAGCAGGCTAGCCACAACCTCCAGGCCCTTACCTGTATAATCCTCCTCCTCCTCGGGACCTTCGGCGTGTGCGGGGGATGCAGCAGCCTTGGGGGGCTCGGGCTCTGGGACAGCAAGCTCCAGCATCCGTGAGCGCGACTGATGGGCACTGAAGGTATGGTATGGGTGCTCGGCGGTGCCGTACAAAATGAGGCTCCATTCTTTGAGCTTGCCTGAAAGACACGACACTCTGTCACATGGGGAAATCCACCGGCTTGCACATAGGCCCCTGTCACCCACAGAGAGATGTGCCTGGCTCCTCCCCAGGTCTGGTCCCGTCACTTCCTGGTTACCTGATCACCAGGTGTGCACCTACTGCCTGGGCCATGGTGCTCCTTCCCTGCAAGCTGCTGTCCCTCTATCCCTATTCCACTGACTGCCCCACACTTACTGCATATGTGGCCTCCCACTGTCCTCCTGTGTGACAACTGGGCCTCACGAAGGAACCCTGGCCGCCTGGCTCCTCTACCCTTAAAGCCCACCCAGGGCTGCTCCAACCCAACCAGTGCCACAGAGACTGTGAGGAGGAGGGTGAATGGTACACACCAGACTCTGAGGCTGAGGGGTTGGACAGGACTGGCCCTGTAGCTCACCGGGCTAGACTCTGCTGCTGGTGTACATGGTGCCGGGCTTGACTTGGTTACACAACACAAGGCAGCACTGCTTCACATTAACCATCACCCCAGCTGACAAAGGTACCAGGCCTCCCAAGATTGAGATCATTTAGATGTCTCCCGGAAGTCCCATGTTCGAAACTGAATCATCCGATTCACATACTGGTGGTGTTTGGAGGTGGACAACTTCAGGAGGTCATGAGGTGTGGCCCCTGAGGTAGCACAAGTGCCTTTAGATGGACAGAATGAGACACCAGCGGTCACATGCTGGCTCTGACTCACCTGGCAACATCCTCACTACTCTGGGGCCGTGTTCTTACTTTCCCAGCCTTCAGTGCCATGAGCCAAATAAACTTCTGTTCTTAATAAATCACCCAGAAAATGGACTAAGACCCTGCTCCAAACCCGGACCTGCTTTGCCACAGCCTCTCTTGACCTGATCAGCATGAGATGATACAGGCAAAGTCCTTCAACTTGAGAAAACTTCCTGGGCACATACGGCCTCCCAGACACCTGCATCCGTGACACATACAGTACCCGTTCCCCCGAACGCCTTTATAAATGTGGCTCCTCTCAATATTCGACAACGGCAAGATGATACACTTTGCACAGATCCAGTTGCTGAAGACATGAACACCCAACTGGCAGTGAACCCTCCTTCTATCCCAGCTCCTCCAGATCGAATCTCAGCTTCATTCCCAAGCCACCCTGGTGTCTGAGCACTTGAACTACCAAGTGATGGGCTGTGGTAAAGGTGGGAGGGGGCAATAACTGCAGGACAGGGATGGGAGGTTCCATAACCTGTTATTTGAGCGGAAATTTATTTCAATCCATAGAATGTTTACACAAATAGCTACAGAGGCCAGGCCACTGAAATTAGATTCTTATTTTTGGATACAGTTTTGGTACGACCCTCAATGGATGTTGTGCCCTGCGTGGGAGTAGGGGTGGGATGGAGAGGAGAGCAGAAAGAATTCCCCTGGGTTCATAGCAGCACAGCCTTGGAAAGAAAGGATTCACTTTTTTTTTTTTATCACATTTTTTTGAGGGTTGGTAGATTGGTTCTTTGGTACATTTCCAAGGGAAGGGGCAGTATCTTCATTATAGTTCAGTCACCAAACGCCTGCAATAGCCAGGGCTGGGCCAGGATGACTTCAGTACCCTACAACTCCATCCAGGCTCTCAGGGGCTCAAGTACTTAGGCCATCCTCTGCTGCGCCCAAGGGGCATTAACAGGGAGTTGGATTGGAAGCGGAATAGCGAGGACTCAAACCAGCACTCTACAATGGGATTCGAGCAGCCCAAGCAGACGACTTAACCATTATCACCACAACACCCATCCTGGTTGCTTTGATACCACACACGTTTCCTACTCATATATGAGGAGGATAACACCGAAGAGCAGCACGAGGCAAGACTTCAGTGTGTGTTTCAGAATGCGCAACAGCCGGGGTGGCTCACATCCCAAAGCAGCAGGGCACTCAGGGACCCCAGGAAACCACGTCTCACGTGCTCTACCACTGGAGCTTTGCACTCATCCAAGCAAACAAGCAGGTGCATTCTGGGTGGCACCTTTGCCCTTTGTATCCTGGAGAGCTTCTCCTTGCTGTCCTTTGCTTAAACACCCGCACTCCGGCAGCTGGGGTATCTCCCAATCATCTTGTGCAATTACAAACACCACCTCCTTGGAACCTGTGTGGTAAATTCAATCACCCAGGAGGGACTCAGTGCCGGCTGCATCCACAGCAGGAGCCCTGGGACAACCTGGGGTGAATCTTGATTCCACCTCCTTCCTGTGAGACTGTGTGACCCCTGGGGGCGTGGCTCTCCGTGTGAACCAGGAGAGGAAAGCACTTGGCATGGTGACAGGCCTATGGGCGTTCTGTGAACAGATCCTTCCCCTGTGCAAGCCTGCATTCCCACAGGCAGCCTGGGCTTGGAACAAGCCCCCCTCCACAGCCGGGGACGTGCCTCGGACTGACAATCCAGACTAACTCTCTGTATGAACATCTTTCCATGTGGCTTAAAGCCAGGCAACTTTCTCATGAGATGAAACTTGAAGTTACTTAAAAACTTGGCAATTTAACACAAACACCTTCCGCGAGCAAGTCAGGAGATGTTGCAGAGCACAAATGTATTTCTTAGCTGTGTTCCTGGCCAGGATGGTGGCAGCAGAAAGTGTTTTGTCCAAACTTTGCTTATATTTTTGCTTCTTCTCTCCAAGACAGGAGAACCCACAGGGGTCAGAGCACATGCTGATGGGGACAGGCAAGGGCTGATGGGAAGCAGAAAGGTGCTGATAAGAGGAACAGGTGTTGATGAGGGGTGCAGGCAGGTGTTGATAGAGGACAGAAAGATGCTGACAGTGGGGCAGGCTGTAATGTCCTATTTCATGAAACCCCACAAAGTCACACATTCAAAATGAGGCTCTTTCCTAAAGTTACTTCTTCTCTAGTTACAAAAGAAGAAACATTCTCGAATGCTAGAACATGGAGACAGCATGAGTCTCCAGGACTGGATCCTGTGCACCTACACCACGGTCAAGATCACACAGTTTCCACCTCTCCCAACCAAGTGAGCACACAATCCTGTGGGTCACACAGCATTCACCTCCCTGCTTCACCTGTTCTTGCGGTCCCGTTCTATACGACTGGCAGTATCTGGCACCTGGGTCTTTCTTACCAGATGTATCAGCTTTGGTGGAAACACGTTTCTGGCATTCAATGAATACTTAATAAATATCTGTTGAGTCACTGAATTGATAACTTAACATACCACTTTTGGAGACAGGAAGATATTTCTCCATGTGCATGAAACTCTACCTAACTAATCTCCCTTGACAGATTATAACAGAGTTATAAAAAAAGTTCCCTTCTTTTTTAAGAATAAATTTGCCAGGCACATCACTAGCTGCCATCTGCACTTATGATTCTGACTACATTCCCCCCAAGGAGGAACCATTGAGTCAGAGAGTAAAAGGCATTGATAAGAATCTTAGTACAATTGGCCAAGGAAAGTATTTGAGAGCCCAAGGCTTGGTTCCAAAAGTGCAAGCCACTTCAACAAATGAGCATTCTCCTGCAGGGTCACAGATTCCCCAGCCCCACCAACCCTCATGCCTAGCATACAAGTGACCTCACTGGGCAGGCGGGAGCAGACACACAGGATAAGCAGCAGAGGGAATTGCCAAGCCAAAATGAACTGGGAGTCCCAGTATCCGACACACACATGCCAGTAAAAGCTTCCCCAAAGCCAGCTGCCTTCCCACTGGTTACTTCTAGAGAGAGGAGCCAAGACACATGGGTGCTGAAGGACCAGGGGAGAGACACAGGTCACATGCAGGCTGTCCCAGGTCAGGGACCATGCTCAAGAGAATCCTGCAAGACACGGTTAAGGAGACTGAACTGCTTACTCTTCTACATACCCAGCAGGTGACCAACACCCAACTAGTGCCAGGAAATCATGTAGTCTCCAAGTGAAGTGGAGAGTCTTAAAGATGCTCCAATCCAGGCCTGGCAGGACAGCTCAGTGGCTCAGTCATTGCCTTGCAAGCAACGGGATCCCAAATGGGCACCAGTTTGTGCCCCAGCTGTTCCACTTCCCACCCAGCTCTCTACTTGTGGCCTGAGAGGGTAGTGGAGGATGGCCTGAACCCTTGGGACCCTGCACCCATGTGAAAGACCCAGAAGAAGCTTTTGGCTCCTGACTTTAGATCAGCTCAGCTTCAGCCATTGCGACCACTTGGGGAGTGGACCAGTGGATCCTTGTATTTCCTTCTCTCTTTAAATCTGCCTTTCAGATAAAAATAAATCTTAAAAAAAATAAAGGTGCTCAAATCCAAATTTGCTGGTTTTTTTTTTTTTTTTTTTTTTACACCATCAGATTCCTGAGACTGTCGAAGAAAGAACCACAAATCTACCTGCTTTAACATCTGTGGCCGGCGCTGCCAGCACACTGCCTGCAGAGCTCAACAGCCAAGCCCTGGCCACCGTCATAATCTGCGGTAATGCTGTGGGAGGTGGCCACAAATGGTTCTGTCATCATTCACAAACTTCAAGCCACACAGCCCCTCAGTGAATTAGGCGTCTAATGAACAAACAGGATTATTTCGGGTCTTCAAAGAAACGCTCCTCCCATCCCCAAATGAGGGAAGACAAAGGATGAATTTGCCAGTAGGAATGCCCAACCACAAGGAGATTCCTCTCTGCCCAGTATTTTAAACTAAGGCCTAATAAGAGGGGAATTTGCAGTTGAATGCAAATCTGGTGGTGGGGGGGTGGGCAAAGGTTTTGTTAGATTCAGGACTCTGAGCTAATGCTCTGAAATTCTTGTTTTGTTTTTTTTTAATTTTTAATTTTCTCTTTACCTTAGGAAAATTTATTAATTCGCCTCCCTTCAGCCCTTAAAATATGCAGGGAAATACTTCAGTTGAAACATAAATGAAGGAGAGGCCCGGAGGGTGAAGTGCAGGTCTCTGTTCAGGCTGACATGTCAGTGGGGAGTTTTCCCTTCTGAGGACCAAGGAGACAGCCACTTGAGGGTGGCGGTAGTGAAGTCAC